GGGCGGGGGCGGTTGCCGCGTTGGCAGGGGAAGGGGCTGAGGGGGCGGTTGGTCATGGGCTGCCCCAGGCTTCGGGGCCAGACGAGCAGGCAGAGCCCTCAAGGGGCGGCTGTGACTTCCGCAGCCAGGTTGCAGTGTTTCCCTAGGGTACGGCAGGGGTCTTTAAAAAATTTATGTCCACCCCCCGCGGGTTTGGCTACGGTGTTACGGTTGTTTCAAAAGAAGGATGGACTCATGTCTTTGTGTGCTTAATCCTAGTTTAGAGCTGTGTATCTCACTTGGTTTCTGTCCAGTGTGCATCAGTGAGAAGTAACCCAACAGGCTGTGCTGCACGTCTTGTCTTGCCTGATCTTTGGCCACAAATTGTGAAATTGTGCTCGCTGGCCTTGGGCAATAGAGGTTTCCAGTTTTTCTTTATACAAAGGTGCTGTGTAGGGATTGTGCAGACAGGGAAAAGTCACTCCTTGTGGAATTAAAGAGGAAGAGACTTTGGTTCTAAAACTCCTGATCTGTTTAAACTTTTCGAAGCCATTTTTGCTTCCCTTCCTAGCATTTGGCTTGCATGCTAACAAAGAACAGGCTTCCTAAAGCATATTGTGTTGAGTAGAGTTTGAAATTCAAAGCAGTGGTGATGTTGACCTCATTCTGATTTTGTTTGGTTGTTTTTAGGAAATCAGTCACGATACTAAGAAATTCCGATTTGGGCTACCTTCACAAGATCATATATTAGGATTACCTGTAGGTAAGTACTGGAAACACTTCATTACAAGTATTTCTGTTTTTAGGATTTATAACTGTACTCATGGTTCTTGGACTTCTGGCTGTTTGGGAATTTAATGCTCAGCAAAGCAAGGAGTTAAAAGCTGCATGTGAATACTGCTGTGTCAGAGAGAAGTGTCAGATTTCCCAGAGGGTTGTATTTTTGATCTTTTGTGTGTGCTTTGTTCTGCTTGTGTTAAATTGTGTGGTGTAGTTTAGAACAAGAACAGTGAAACTGAACTGAGTCTGATGAAATTCACCACCGGTCAGAATATAGGCAAGAATATGGTATCTGTCAAAGCTTTTTCATATTTCTTATTCCATCTGGTGCCCTCAGTTTATTGTCAACTGCCCTCGTGCTTTTGATGAATACAGTCACACTGGTAGATGAGAAAGAGAACAATCTTCTTCTGCCTGGGAAGCTATTCTGTGCAGAACAAGGGGGAAAATAGAACTACTGTATATAGAAAATGCTGAAATATTCAGAGCCTTTTCTGTGCATGCACTTAGCTTTGATTTACATACATATGTGTACAACTTTGTCTTGCTTTCTGTAGCATGAAGTTCATTTCAGACTGGACTTGGCACAGGCTTCTTTCCTGTACCTTGCAAAACTGATGGCATTGAACCTTGGACCTTGAATTAATGGTAATCTATACAGGGGAAAGTCTCCCTTTCTGATCTGCAGATGTGGCAGATGTAGCCCTGTTTGTGCTGTACTATGTTTTGCAGTTTTCCTTGCTGTATGACAAGTGTCAGGGTCTTTCCCATTCCGTGCTGTGAGCACATCCTTCTTGCATGCTGCCTGTCAAGGGCATTTCTCCACATTCTCTTCTGGCTTGTATGGGAAAGTGTAATTGAACTGTCCACATCAACTAGACAAATGATAAACGAATTGAGATGTGCCCTGCAGTGCTTGTATTTATCCAAACTTTATTCTTAAGAATTTAGGAATAAGACCCTGAAACTGCATGGGCCAGATTACTTCCTGGGAGATTCCTGCCTTCTGCTTTTAACCAAGATCATTTTGCTAAAAATGAAGTGTTTTCTGCCAGCAGTGTTCCTGCTTTTTGTTTTTCCATATAACTCTCTAGATTAGTGCTGTCTGGCTGAGGAGACTACTCTTGGCAGTTCTTTCAATCAGCAGAAAGAAACAGGTGCCTTTAGGGTCTGCCTCTTGGAGCATTCAGTTGGGCAAAGGGCTCTCTGTGGACAGTGGCATCCACTGCTGTGGAAGCGGCAGCGTTACGGAGGCAGGAGTTATGGAGAAGGAATATGGCCCAAGGCTTTGTTCTTGATGTCTTGGTGTAGAATCTCTGGGAAGTTTGCTCTGTGAGCTTGCTGCTATAAAACCGTAATACTTCTTTCTTTGTGAACTGGTGCATCCTTACTTTCACTTTGTTAATGAACATGAGAACAGCAGAACTCAAAATATAGCCAGCACTTGAGAATGAGAAACAAACTTTCTATATCTATATATCTATTTCCTACTTTCCTAGTATCTTATCCTTGATTCTGTAACGTACCAGTTCTCCTCAGTTACCCTGTGCTCCAGAAACTCTTACTAACAAAAGAGACTAGATGTTTTATACAGCATTTTATATGGTAAAGATTTTCTCCATCATTGCTTGTGTTTAACGGGTTACAATACCTGCTTTTCTTTCTTGCCTTGTCCTCCAGGCCCAAGAAAAGTTTGAAACCGGGGATGAAAAAATAAATAATCAGATTGTAATTCTTTCTCCCTAGGCCAGCACGTTTACCTTTCTGCAAAAATCAATGGTAATCTGGTGATTCGAGCCTATACCCCAGTTTCCAGTGACGAGACAAAAGGTTATGTTGATTTAATTATAAAGGTAAATTTTGTTTCCTTTAATATAGATAAATTGCTAACTGGAAAGAAGGAAAGTACTTCATTTTAGCGAAATGTAGAGTTTATTTTGATTGATCTTCTTTTGAATAGGATGACTGCATGGCCAACAACTCATTTCACATTATCCTTGAATAGCAAGTTGTATCCTGTGTATCTGCTGTAGGTCACTGAGAGACAGCAGAGGTAGGGAAGATGGAGAAGGAATCGCTTCCTTGGCAGTACTGCAGGAACTTCCCTAGTATCTTTTATTTGGCAATGCAGGAACAGCAATCCCTCTCCCTCAAGCTGCCTATGCTGCTACTAGTACTTACTGCTAATAGCTGTAAGTAGGAAACAAGTCAATAAGAACTGCTGTCTTTGGTGATACTACAGAGATTGCAGTTATATGTCTGTAAGCATCAGAAGTTGTGCTAATGTGTTTATTAAGACAATAGGATACAGAAGCGAGGGAAATCCTTTAAGCTAGGGAATGCAGGATGATTTGATCTCAGTACTTCTGGATTTTCTAATCCTTTTCTACGATAGAGTTTGTCCTTAGGTAAAAATCTGGGCTTTTTTGCGTGCTCTGTTCTTCATGTTACAAGTATGGTGAATTGTTATTAACTACTTAGCACTTATTTTGTGCTTTGAAAGGTGAAAAAGCTGTCATGTGGCTGAAGTCTCTGGGAAAGTCTTAAAAAGAAAAGATGCAGCAGTGCTATTTTCAGAAGGAGCGATTACAAAAATGGGGTAACATAAGGTTCTTGCTGGAGCGATAGTGAAATGAAGGCACTAGTACATAATCTGCCTGCCACCTATTCCTGTTAGCCTGGCTGTTTGCAGAGAGCGTAGGAACATGCGCATGAAAGTGCATTTTACTTATTTTGGCTGCTTCCTGTTGCAAGGCACAACAGATAAGTGAGAGCAAAGAATTGTCTCAATTTCTTTCTCATATGTTAAATTGTAGAACACAATATTGCAGATCTGAAGTTTGTAATACTATCTGCAGGAAAGCTAGTGGTTGATATCGTACAAATTACTGTTTTTACAGGTCTACCACAAAAATGTGAATCCCAAGTTTCCAGAAGGTGGGAAGATGTCCCAGTACCTAGATGACATGAAGATTGGAGATATCATTGACTTCAGAGGGCCAAATGGGCTCCTTGTCTATAAGGGGGCAGGTACTGTGACATGAAGGTGGGAGAGCAAAAGGGAGGAACTTGTACTGGTTATTTTAAAAAGTGGAAAAGAGAAAATCCACCTTTCCTGGTCTTGACCAAGAGCCCATCAGAGTTGACATGATGGGAAAGCATACTTTGTGTTTACTTTGTGTGAGGAATAGCTGGTTGTTGTCTTACTCTAGGGACCATATAATTAAATCTGAAAAAATCGCTATTGCATTATATTACTGAGAAGGCTGTACTGAAAATAGTACCTCAGCTATACATATGGAGAGAGATGTTCCAGATGCTTCTTAAGCAAGGGAGGTAGTGGCCTAAAATGCCCTCTGAGAATCTCAGCATTGTTACTGAATTACCTGCTGACTGTAAGCCAACTCTATTTCATGATTAAACCAGGTCTGAGTTGACTGGGCGGAAGTAAGTTCAGAGAAGTAATCCTCTTTCAAGATGCAAGTGAAAGATTTTGCTTTGATCTTGATTGAGAGGGACCGTCCACTTAACTCTTACTTCAGGGGGATAAGAGCTCAGCGCTTCTTTGGATCATGAACTTTTATCATGAGTAATATGCTGATGAATCTGTTATATCTCAGAGGAAACGAGTGATGCATGTTTTACAAATATTCCTTTCTGCTCTTCTTTGACTGCTATGAAGAGTAGTAGCTAGGAAAGCTTGTTACTAGTTACAGATCTCTTAAAAGATGATTGGAATATGTCAAGTGCTGTTCATATAAGATACTTTTCATAGGCTTTTCACTTGGCTTGGTCCTTGGAGATTAATTCAATTACAAACTGTCTGGTTTTGTGACAGCTCTGAAGCAATGGTATACCCAGGTGTGGAGCAGAAATTGGCAAGGTCTTCTCATCCAGGGTACTAGAAGGTAGTCACCCAGCTGACTGCGAGTGTCATGGGGATCTCATTAACTGGAAATGAGTTACATTAATAAAGTGCTTGATGATAAAAGTATGCAAGGCTCCAACATACCTCATTCTAATCTTTGCAGGGGTTTTTGCTTGATGTTGGTTTAATACAACTCCATTGAATGTGGACACACACAAATGGCTAGATCCATGGTGTAAGTGAGGATGATGAAGATGGCCTAAGAAACCTGCTTCTCTGTAGTAGGGGCTGTGGTTACCTTTAGCTACCACTAACGTTCACAGTTGCTGAGTTGTGTTCTCGGCAGTGATGTGGGAATCCTTGAGTTTATTATAAATTATGTTGGGCGGTAGGAAAGGAGTAAATCAGTTGTTCAAAGCTAGGATTGGCATTTACAGAGACAAAGAGGTTTCTACTCTTCGTGCTCAATGCTGTGCTGAGTCCATTTAGCATTTCCAGAAGATCTGTCCCAATTAATTGGTAGGCTGTAGTAATTTATTCCTATGGAAGTTGTATCCATGTTTGTTTAGGAGTTAATGTAGCTATAGGTTTTGAATATTTCTTCCAGGTACCTTTCTCATCAAGCCTCATAAGAAGTCTGAAGCAGAGAAAAAGTTTGCAAAGCATCTTGGGATGATAGCTGGAGGAACAGGTAAAACTATTCTCATCATATAGAATGTCTAGAGAACGAAGACGTCTTTATGGATGCGTGTGAGGAGTATCAAACACTGTACTTTTGTAGCAGAGCACTTCCACCTGTATTTCTTTTCGTGAGTGTTTGGTGACACTGAGGCTTTCCAGTGGCTTGAGCTCAGTCCTAGGAATTAGCAACTTCAAAGTCTTAGTCTTGATTTACTGTGTGACATCAGAGGAGTCACTTCATCTCTCTGAGCTTCAGTCTCAATGATAAAAAAAGTTTTAGGAGAATGTCTTGAGGGTTAAATTACTGTATGCGATAGAGAATGCTGAAGAGGAAAGCCCCACATAAAGGTATTGTGGTTTTGTTTTTGTTTTGAAACGATTTGTAATAGTAGAAACCCCCAACCTTTGCATTTGAAGGAAGGCAACATTAATATTGAAACCGCAGCCTTACGAGGGTTGGAAGAAATATCCATTTTTTAACTGCTTTGTTTTTAACAGGAATAACTCCTATGTTGCAGCTGATCCGTCATATCACAAATGATCCTAAGGACTCCACAAAATGTTACCTTCTTTTTGCTAATCAGGTGAGTATACTGCCTCATCTGTTCTCCTTCTTTAATGGCCTACTTTCTCTGCTGGCCTCTGAGCTTTTTAAACTGATGGGACATTGACCCCTGGAGAAAATACTGCTCTGCATGTTTCATACTCATCCATTGTCTTTGGGTTTGTATTTTCACCCAACCATTTATGAGAAAATACTATCTGAGATAGTACATTTAAAAATGATCAGTATAGGGAGGAACAGGAAATGGTTATTATGTAAGTTTTTAATCTACTGTCTTGGGTAAAAATGATTTAAGAAGAAGAAACTGAATAAAAAAAATTAGCCCTAAGGCCCTTTATAGATACTGCGTGGTGCTGTTGTAGTTCCCATGATCTTTTATTTGTTTTGGAGATGGCTCCTCATGGTTTCACTTACACTCCCTAATTCCTATATTAGGGAATAAATAGTGTGAACAGATCCTTATCCCTCTACTCATTTTATTCCTTCACTGATTTCAAGGAAGCAGGATGTTCTGTTAATCTGTTTCTACAGTTAACCTTCATCATGCTGGTACAGGCCTGTATTTGCCAGGGTCAGAGACAAATCCAGCTAATCGTGATTTTAGCCTGGATTAAAAAGTTGTTCAAATTGCCATCCTTAAGACAGTGTTTAGGTGGCTATTAAGTGTCATAGGTTGTTGTTGTTAATCTGAATTTATGGAAGTCTGTAATGATAGTAGCCTACCATGTAAGGTGTGTGTGTGGGGGAATCACTTTTTTGGTTTGAATGAGTTACCATTGCATTTGTCTTGTTGAATGCCAGATAAGCTCACATTACAGGGCATCTTGAGATGGTTTGGAGCTAAACAGCGGCCTCATTTTGCAGACAGAAAAAGATATATTACTGAGAGCTGAGCTAGAAGACATTGCTAAGAGGCATCCTGATCAGTTCACATTTTGGTATACACTGGACAGACCTCCACAAGGTAAGGCTACCGCGACACGCTGGAAATGCCTCTGCTCGTCACAGTACAACAGTCAGAGTTTCACTCTTATCATAGAATCGTAGAACCGTTTAGGTTGCAGAAGACCTTTGAGATCATCGAGTCCAACCGTTAACGTAGCACTGCCAAGTCCACCACTAAACCATGTCCCTAAGTGCCACATCTACACCTCTTTTAAATACCTCCAGAGATGGTGACTCAACCACTGCCCTGGGCAGCCTGTTCCAATGCTTGACAACCCTTTCACTGAAGAAATTTTTCCTAATATCCAATCTAAACCTCCCCTGGTGCAACTTGAGGCCATTTCCTCTCTTGTTCAAGGGGCCATTAGTATAATATCAAGTTGTCTTGTCTTACACTATTTTAAACAACAAAGACACCCCCCAAGCCCTCATAAAAAGTCTTACCACAACATCTGTTTTGAAAAGTGTTCTAAACCAGGTGGGCCTTAGAAAGTATGAACGAATAATTAACTCCTATTGGGCGAGACACATGTTGCTCAGTGGATCTTTTGATGTATTTCAGGATGTGCCAGTTTCTTGGACTTCGCAGCAAAGGTTACAGCTCTGTTTTGGCTATCTCCCGAATCAGGTTATGTTAGCATTTTGTTGACACTGAATTGCTTAATACCTGTAAATAGAACATGCACATCTTTGTTTTGCAGCAGCTCTAGATTAGATTCTGGTAAAACAGAGCTGCCATGTGTATAGATTAAAGCATTAACTATAGGCTGGTGTAGCACTAAATTAGAAATGGAGAGAGAGGTTGAACTCTACTGAATCTCCTTTGAAACTTGGGTATTCGTATTCACTGATGTGGTAAGCGATCTGAGCTTTTATTTAACAGACACAAGAGCCAAACTGAGTCAGATCAAAGTTCTGTACCTGTTGTCAGCACTAGCCATGAGTAGATGGCCAGAGAAGAGTAATCAGCAGGCCTTGATACTCTTCCAGTCTTTAATATTTCTCAGTTCTGAGCCAAATGTGTCTCTACAGATATAGTAACCCTCAGTGGACTACTTCTGTATGAACTTACTGTGTCTCCTTTTGGAGCCTGTGTGAGCTTTTTGGCAGTGTGTTAGTGGTTCCATAGGATTAGCACTTTTGTGTGAAGAATGACTTCCTCTGGTTTGCATTTGCCTCTTAATTCTTATGTTGGAAGAGAGTGTGAATAGGTCTTCACGTTACTAATTTTAGGCACATCTATCAATGACCCCTGCTGCCCCATCTCTTCTATATTGAAGATTGCTGGTCATCCCCATTAGCAGTGATTACGTACCTTTGCTCATCCTTGTTCTCTCAACCTTTTCCAGCTCTGCTATGTCCCTTTTTGAGCTAAGCAGATCAGAACTGAACAGCGGTAGTCAAGATGCAAGCAAACTCTGTATTTTTAATTTGACGTGGTGTTCCCTTTTCCTTTCCTAATACTTCTTAACATTTCATATGCCTTTTGACTGCTGCTGTTTTCATAACCCCACTATCTTGCTCCTGATAAATGAGCTTAAATCATATATTTTTATATGTGAAGGCAGGATTTTTTTTTCCTACTTGGCTCGCTTTAAATGGCAGATGCATTCAATAATATTACTGCTTGAAATAATTTAGCATTTCTTTCCTCATTTTTATTTTTTTTTGCTCTCATCACTTAACTACATGGCAGAACTGTTGTCATCATCAAACTTTGTCACCTCACCACTTGATCTCTTTTCTAGGTTGTTTTTTTTTTTTTTTAACAGGTCTCAGTACGTCTCCCTGCACAACTACCCCTCTCTTCACTGGAAAAGCTGATTTACTCTTCCTGTTTATTCCTACCTGCTGTCTAATTTCTTCTAAATCTATCATTTTTTCACAGACTTTCATGTCTTATCAACCAGGTCCTTGTTATCCACATGCTTGTTGTCCCTATCGAAGGGGACCACTAGGTTTTTGCTCAGTGAGAGATTTAACTCTCTCTTGGCTTGCAGTGACGGTGGCATAACTTTGCTGATTCTTCAGCTACTTTGTGACTACAACACATGCTGTTTAAAAAGGCTTCAGACTGTACAGATATTCAAATTAATAGTTTAATTTCTTTGTTTCAGATTGGAAGTACAGCTCTGGCTTTGTCACTGCAGACATGATTAAAACCCACCTCCCTTCCCCTGGCAGTGAGACACTCATTCTCATGTGTGGGCCACCACCTATGATTCAGTTTGCGTGTCAGCCCAACCTGGACAAACTTGGCTATCCCAAGAGCAGTACATTTTCTTATTGACACTGATGTCATCTGATACCTTTTCGTAAGTACTGCATATTTTCCTACAGGAACAACTGGTATGTAACTGTGCAGTATTTCTTTGGGTGTATGTGTGTTTGTGTTTTTTAATTGCTTAATGTAATTTCTGTGGTTTGTAACTTCATAATTACCTTTGTGTGTTTTAATACTAAGAAGTTGAGAGATCATCTTGAATTGTGTGAAAGTAACTTAGACTAACCTCTTAAGTTAGTATGAAATGTTAAATTAATAGAAAGAAAAATTAAGTGTAATTGGAGAGGTAGGACAGACATAAAACCACTCGTTTGTTAACATGGGTATAAAATTTCAGAGAGGGCTATAGAACTGGACTAGGATTATTTGACTGTGCTCTGTAGGTAATTAATTTATTTAGTGCATCCTGGGGAAGGAAAGTACAAAGAACAGTCTTTTTTTTTTTTAAAATGCTCTTTTACAGTCCTTTACCAGGGACTAAGAAAGAAGTCACAGTATGCTATTGAAAAAGTGAACAGAATTTGGGTAACATGCAAATTGCTTATTACTGTAACAGAAATTCTCATTAATGTGAAATTTTTTCAGGAGGATTACATAACTTCATGCTATCTTCTAACAGCCTTAGCTAAACAATCACTGCCAACTGTATATGGAAGTATTGGGCTACATATACAGACATAACTATCCAGTGATGTTACATCATTTGAATGTCATTCTCTAAGAGTAGTGCTTGCTTTTTTGGCAGTTTCAGAAATTTCCTTTACTTAAGAGAAAACATGGCTTCTTACTTCCTATTGTAAGCTATGCTGAGTCAATCTTAAACTCAGCTCATGCCTCATCTCAGTGTTTTTACCACATAGCATTTAATTCTTAGTCTTCAGTGCCTGAAGTCTTGCATGTTCATTTCCAGGAATTAGTTTATACTACGTTTGTTTTAGGGTCTGACAAATCCCTGAGCCAGAAGACTTGGTTCTTCAGATGCTAATGAATATGTTTACTAAATATTCTTATTCATCTAAAGCAAAACCAAAGGAATCGACTAGTTAAAAATTGACATAGGGGTTTTATACTTCATCAGTTACATTTGTAGCAACAATGCAAAGACAGATACAGAGATTCAGACTGTGATTCTGTCCCTGGTGAGAGATCAACCACATGTATTTGTTAGAATCATTCCACAGTCAGCAAGAGATGGAGAAACATTCAGAATTTATTCGTAACAGTCCAAAAATAAGCATTTATGCCTGTGTTATGCTAATTAGGATTTCTCTCTCTTTCTCTCTCTCTCTCTATAAAAAAAACCACAATAATTTTATAGAATGACTATTCACAGCCAAGTTAGCACAACAACACACTGAGTTATAAATACATCATTGAAATCTGAAAATCTGCTTGGAATATCCCAGCGATATTAAGGCTGCCTCTGTTGGAGCAGCTTATCTTATTTGTAGTGCTGTAATAAGTCTGCTGGTTAATTAACCTGACAAAGTATTTCAAATGCCCATAGTGCATGATCTGGTCACTAGTGTTGATTGATTGCATTGCCAGATTAGAGATGTACTTGACTGGTACGTTTCATACCTTTTATTAAGCATTTTTAGTTTGCTGATGTGTAGACTGACTTCTCATTCCTTTGGATTTTCCATTATCATTTCATTGTTCAGTGATTGAAAAAAATTTGCCTTGGTTTTACCATTTTGGACTATAAAATCATGTGTTTAGCTTCTAAAATCTGACCATACAGTGCAGGGTCTATCATGAGAGGCTCACGGAGTGAGGATAGAATAAGGTCACCTTTAAAAAGTGCCACTGATAGCTCTTGAAGAGCCCTTGCTGCATACTGTGGACAGTACCTGAGATTTCCCCTTTATTTGGGAGGGTTGTGGCTGGGAGTGACCTGCCCCCAGGCTATATTAATATGTAAACCAACACCCTGCAGCCAGCAAGGAGAGAGTAATACAAACCATCCATAATACATACTAAGTCTTTTCTTTACAACTGAGCAGATTTCCTTTCTGGCATTTCTCTGTTTACTAAGATATCTTGTTAATACCTTATTAATTCACGAGAGGCACATGTCAAAAGATGCCACAAGTAATTGCTGCTCTAAAGGAGACACTTTCACTCTTGAACAGCCCCTCAGGTAAGTAGTGAGAGGCCATATTTCCCTCTGTTACAGTGCTGCAGTCCTGCCTAGCTCAGTAGAATAGCAACACATCTGTTTTGTCAGGTGTTCTAAAGAAACAAAAATTTGTTTTATTATGGTACTTGCCTGATGCTCCTTAGTCACATTTTACACATCACAGAGCAGTAATGTTTGTCTCCTATTGCTGAATAAAGTATTCTATGAAAATCTATCTGTAGCTGGAATGAAAAGAGAACTGAAAGTGAACAGCAATATTGTTTACAAGATCACCAGTTCCCATGCAAACGTGACAAGAGTATTTCTACTGCAATCTCCAGTTCTCAGGGCTGTTTGCAGGCACATGTTTAGTTAGGTGTAACTCCGGAAACAAAATAGGCTTATTACAGGCATCCCTGTCTCCCTGAGAGCCTGTACTATGTTTCAGACCAACCAGGCACAGGGCTTAAAAAACTTTGTCTGAACCATTTTCACTGTTCAGAAGGCTTATGAGCATCCTGATGCTTGCACATGTGTGTCAGTACTAGCAATTTTAGACAAAATGGCGGTATACAGATAGAGCCCATTCAATAGTTCTAGTTAGAGAAGTGTCATTTAAAACCAAACAATGGATCATGCTGGAAATTCTGTTGCGCTTACCCTACAGAGTATGGCGAACACCATTCTTAAAAGTTACATTTTACATTAGTTAAGTGTTGTGATTGCTCCTTGATCGTGAACATCTTAGTGCACATGTAAAAATCACACAATAAAAAAAAAATCACTTTAAATGAAGCACCAGCTTTTGAGTCCATCAGTTTTTCTGGTAGTCTCAAAGTTACATTTCCTGCTGTGGTTGTTCAGCATCTTTTTGAGTTAGGTGAAGTTTTGTGAACATGCCATCTTGATTGTCATTCTCCTGATAAAAGCAAGGGCTTGGTGGATAGTTTTATGTCCCATTCTTGCCATTCTACACTGCACGCACTTAGATAAAAAGAGGGCAGGACATGTGCTAATGAAAGGGATGAGAGATTAAAATCCTTTTATGGGAAGCAGTCTCTGGCAAGACTCCAGTAGTTGTTTGGGTCCATTACCGCTGCACTCACCAGCATCCCTCTGAATTTCTAGGTGGCTCTGATTAGTCCACATGGTACAATAGAGTATTAGTAATTCCTGCATTACAAGTTAATTACAAAAATAAAAAAAATACAAAAGATCTTTCATATAATAGTACATAAACATACCATGTAAAAGACAACTGAATATAAGGGTAAAATACGTTGCCAGTCTTGGCTTTCCAGACTCTGGATATGCATACCACTTTTCTCTCAACACCTATTTCACATTACGAAATATGGAAAATAGCATGGAAGAGAGTTACCTGTAATATGCTGCTACATTGACAAATTAAATGCTATGTGGTAAGTCCCATTGGCAGAAAAGAGGTAAAGCTTTTCTGCACCACAGCATAAAGCTTCTCCTAGCCACCGCTCTGGGCAGGCATGAGGTATTAGTGTTCTTGGTCATGTTGAAACATCATCTCCAGTCTTCAAAGGTAGGTGTTAAAAATCTGCTGTCATTCAGCATTTCATCTTGGCTTAACATCGTCTGAAAAAATAAGATGTGAACAAGTAAGCATATTCAGTTAGAGGCCTATAGTCAAAGAAATCCAACTGTAATAAGATCAGATTCACAACAGAGGGAGTTAGAGCCACATAAAATTAAAAGGAATTTCTTGAATGCAGCTTTAAATAAACTATTATTTGCTTGAGGAAATTCTCACAGAGATTGCGTGTGTGGCATGTGACTCAACTATGTTATGTAATTCTTCATTATACCTTTCAGTCAACTTTTCTTTTTTTTTTTTTTTTTCCTTTTAATTAGCTGCTATGGAGTCAGGAATTAATACAGTGATTTTTTTGTTTTGTTTTGTTTTCCATGGAGTTTTAGCTCATGTAAATTTTCAAGTCTGTACGTCTTTGCTAGACTTTGCTGTGACTGAGGCATTTGATGGTGGTTACTTGCAAAATCTTTGAATAATTGTTTTCATTTAAGGGGATGAATATCTGTCATCGGGTCAAAGAGACAGAGTTCATGAAAACTTAAAATAGGCCTAAATTAAATTTAATTTCTAATGCGATTTAAAAGCAGGGATTTTTTGGACCGTGAATGTGCCGTCAGGCTATAAAGAGGCATTTAACAAGAATAATGACTCACATACTCCTAACTACCTCCAGTAACTTTCACTGAATTCTAGCAGAATACATTTGTGACTTTAAAACAAGAGTGAAATTACTACTTACCGTAAGATGGCTTATGCCTTGAGAAAGAGCCCCTATTTGCATTACTGTTCCTTCTGAATGTTCCATCTGTAAAAGTATTCAGGAACTAGTTCAAATCAGACAGCATGTGCAATTTTATTCACTCTACATGCATCTTTGGGAGGTTATCTGTGCCTGGACAAATGAAGTTGTGATAGGTTTAAAAGCTCTGATTTCTGCACATTAACAAAAATGCCTCCATGCTATAAGGTATGTGAAAACACATTTAATGATAGGAAGAATGAACCCTGATTAAGGAAGATTGATTCTATGAAACTTGAGCTGTACTGTAATTCACACAAGAAAAGAAAAAGCTTAACCGATATTATCAGTGAAGAGTAATATTTTCCAGATGGTGTAACACTTCTGGTAGTCTTCTTCCACAGGCAAGTGGTAAGAGTCCTTCATGATACAGTCCTACCTATTCTTATACAAAAAGGTTATCAGTTCTAGGGCATTGAGATTTCACTGCATGACCACATGCTCAGAAGTCATGCTTAATTGGAAGACCATGCTCCTAGAGAAAAATCCCAGTATTTTTGTAACACTTGAACAACTGCATAGTGTAAGCTATTGGCTCAAAGTTAATGCATTCACTTGCAACTCTTTTAACTGTGCAAGTGGACATCCATACTAAATTATAGTCAGGATTTGGTATTGTCCCTACTTGGGAACAGCACTTTATTTTGCTAAGGTGTAGATTGAAAAAGACAATTGTTAGATAATGAACACAAATGAGATGTTAGATGCAGTAAACCATGCAAATGAAGAAAATATTTTCACAGTTAGTCTTTTCAATTTTGTGACCATTCTCTTACTAGGCTTACAGTGTTTTTACCTCACTTAAGGTCACTGAAGATAGGACAGTTTACCCCAGCTGCCTCTGTCTGGGTCTTGTGTGTTGCCAAAGTTCACACAAGCCTCCAGGAGCTCCATTTTTCAGGGTTTACATCCCTTTACACAACAGCAAAGTTGAATAAAATTTGATGGTTTTTAGTCTTCATCATTTGTCTGTATGATGTCAAGACAGTTTCATTCACAAGTTCACTACTACATAACAAAAGTGAATTATTTAAGTATTGGTTTATTAATGATTTTGTTCGTTACTGATGCATTGTTTTCACATATACTGTCTAAGCATAACTACTCACCATGGTACATAATGAAAGAAAAATTCAGTTGGATTCTTTGATTAACGTCTGTTAAAAATATACAATCCAGTTGTACTTTCATATATAACTTGATAGCTTTGTACAAATTAGTCCAAATAAATTTATTACATTAAAAACCACCCATAAAGATAATGAAAAAAGTCACGTGCCATACTCAGATTATGAGAGCTAGAAGTACAAAAGTCTTGTGTTTACTGTAACCTCCACCTTAATTGTCAAAATACATCAATCTTCGTAGTGTAAAGGTGTTATATTCCTGAAAAAGGGCTTGAAGATGGATGAGTTTATTATTATGTTGATTAAAAAAATTAACCTGACATTCTTAGTATAGAACTCTTTCCAGTGTCCATAGCTAATACTTTCTCAATGAGTTCATGCGGATGTAGCAAATACTTTGTTATATGCTAACATTTGGTTATTTGCAAGCTTTGGAATGCATGGAGAAGATGAGATGAGAATGGCATCAGTCTGTCTGTCCCACCTGATCCAGCTCCCTATCAGTGAATGGACTAAGTCCTTTGTATGCACCATAGTTTTTCTGGGTACCGTTCGTAGCAGCTGGGTTTGTATCCATAGGACAAATGTAGTCTGTTGATTCATCAAATTTCTTTTTTCTTAAGTTTCCAAAATGTGAAAATCCAAGTTTCTTTGGCTAAAATAAGAAGACAAGTTTTAAATAAGAAAAATAAGGTTGTCCTTTAAACATTCAAAATCCTCTCCGTTTTGATTTACTGCTATACCCTAGTCCTTAAGGTTACATAGATTCTGAACTAAATAAATTTAATTGGGAGTTACAGTTGATTTTAAATACATTTAGGTAGTACTGCTTCTAATAAAAGACAGAAGGGATTGCATGCTTATTTCAGAAGCTGATTTAAACAGATGATATAACAGGAAAATGTAACACTCCTCCTAGAACTGACCTCTCCCTGTCCACATTTGTCCCTTATTTTCTTTATAAAGCAGGGGAGAGGGAGTCTGAAATTCTGAAATACCTCCTTTTTGAAAGCAGTACATACCCGAACTTTGGCAGTGGTGGTCAGAGGTGTGTATGCTGTTGACTCTGTTATTTCTCTTTTTTCTTGTTGTGTCTCTGGTCCAATTAATACGTTAAAATTGGTTGTTAGGTGGCGTCGCAGTAGGGTCTTTTGAGGTGGAATATTCAGCAGCATTGCCAGTGTGTCACCATTGAAGCGAGGCTCGAGAATCTATTAAAAAATGGCAGAATACTTACTTTTTTAATCTGGTTAAATATTTGTAATAGTAAATTATTACTTACGTAAGTGCTTATCAGAAGGATTTCTCATTCTTACTAAGCTATCTATCTACATTAGACCTTTTATAACTCACGATATGATATTCACTAGGGTTTGAAGGGAAATACATGAAAATAGGCACTAAGAAATGCTGAGTATGATCAGGCAAATACATTTATCATCAAACCTTACAGTTGTTTGGATTGAACAAATTTGTTTTCAGAATTTTCTGCTCTACTTTGAGAGAGTATAAACTTTAATCTTAGCACAATTTTTCCTATTTCATTTCTGAATCATGGTATTTCAGAACTCTGACTTTACTAAGCTGCAAATAGTTCTGAGTGTTTTGAATTAAAAAAATGTCCTGATTGCTGGCAAGACTGCTGTGAGTGCAGGACAGTTATTTACTGTGGCTCAGAATTCTGTTAAAACTACTCAAAGAAACACTCAAGTGATGCCTTATCAATAAGTAACTTTCCCACAGTACAATTTGTTCGGGGTTTGGTTTTTTTTTTTGATGTGCTGCTGTTAAACACTCATGCACAGCTCAGCTTTGATTATAAAAAATGTTTTAGCAGTTTCTTTTTAATTTTAATTTTCCTTTGTAAAATTAAGATGTATGGATCAGATACAGAGGCTCTTGAGAAGGTCTGATCATGCTGTCATATTGCAGATGTATTTGTTTTCTCCTGCTTGACAAACACCAGATAAAAGATGTTTTATATTACAGTCTGTCAATTTTTATTAGACATATAGTAAAACGTTAAAATGAATTCTTACAATCAGGCCACCATGCACTCCGCTTCCTCGAAGGTTTGGTGCATATTCTGCCAGATCGACTGATCTGAGCCATTCCATCACTCTGTGATTGGACCACTGAACTACTTCAGAAGGCGAGACATTATTCTGTTAAAGCAACCAGAAAAGATAATGACAATATAGCCTGCATTGTCACTGCATGTTCACAGTATGTATCCTCAGTTCATTAGAAACATCATTCCTCCTCTTCCTCAAAGAGCAGTATTTTTTCCCTGATTCTAAGGTATTGTTTCTGTTCAAGGCCTCTTTCAAACATCCTCTGATGAGATGGCAGGCATAGTTTAGTACAGATGAAACCCCATATATTGCATCAAGTAGTATAACAACAAGAGATTACAGATGCTGGGTGTAAAAAGGGAAGCATTTTGAGAACAGTGTTGTTATCAGTCTTTAAGCTATGCTGACCGGGAAAGGCAAAAACCTTGCAGTCTTTGAGAGCCAAAAATTAGGACAGGCAAGAAAAAAACATTCAAATTATTCTCTCGGAAGTTGAATTAACTTCTTTAAGCAAATAATTTCTAAAGGGAAGTGCATGAAATTCAACTAATAAGTGGTTCAAGCACTTAAGGAGTGAGTAGATTTTTATTATGGTTGAGTACGTGTAACATTCCAGAGTGGAAAGCAGCATATCTACTGCTTTAGACACAATTTCCTAGTAGCAGTGATTGTATTGTATCGTTGTACACTGCTAACTTTCTATCCCCTTTGGCTGGAATCAGGTAATTAGTGCTTGTTTAAATTAAATTACTTAAACATTCTTTTACCTCCTCAACTGGTCTCCTGCGTAGACAGTGGGGGTTAAAACTGTTGACATGCAGCACATGAATGGCACATTTAATACTCAGATGATGCAGCTGACTGGTGACTTTCAGAAAAAGAAGGTCATTCTGTAAAGGAGAGAGCATTTTAAGTGCCATAGAATACATACCAAAACAGTTACTTTCCCCAAGAAGAAAGATTTTAAGCTTGCTATGTAGTTCTATGTAAAGCACAGTAACTATGGTTTAGGTAAAACAAAAGTTTATATTTTAAAGAGGGTTTTTTAGGGTCGGGGTTTTGGGTTTGTTTGGTTGTTGTGGGGTTTTTTTTGTTTGGGTTTTTGTTGTTGTTGTTTTGTTTTTTGGTTTTTTTTTTTTTTTAAACATTGCACCATAGCAAGACCTTGCTAAAAACTGAAGGCAAGCTTGTAGCCTATTGAGTAAAATCCAGGCTCATGAATAATTTTAAAATATTTGGACTCTTCCTGATCTGGCTAAGATCCTGTTGTGGGTAGGATCACTGCAGCTAGCAACACACCATAGAACAGCAGGGACCATGCTCCTATATAACAAAGGCTGCAGCGTAGACAAGGCTGTACTTTTGATAACAGCTAAATTAGGCATTTTTTTTCATAGCACAGTTAACCAAAAAACCCCGCAAAACTTACTTATCCAAACCTGGGCAGGGAAACTGTAAAAAACCCACAGTGGCATGTGTAGGCCATGGTTTGCTGATAGTGTGGTCTAAGCTGTACAAATTACTGGATTTGCTGCTTATCTTTACATTACTGAATATTGACGCTAACCTGGTGTGGAGAACAACACGCTCCAGAAGCTGCATGCGAAATAGGTCATTTTACCTGTTGTGGTGTGCTATACAATATTGCTATACAATATTGCAAGAAAGACTTTGCAGAAGTTAGCTATAACATATCCTATGACTTATTTTATGTACCTTAGGAATAGTAATCGTGCACTAGACAACTCAAATGAGTTACTACCGGCAACTATTTCTGTCTTGCAAAAAATTTTTAACTGCTCACATTCAAAGGAAACTTGTAAAATTCACTGCTCATTCTGAAGTTAAATTTGGTTAAACTGAGGAAAAAGGATTTTAGCTTACCACAGTTAGGTACTGCAACATTCTCCCATCAACTCTGGATTCATGAAACTGGTCTTTGTACTGAGGTAAACCAATATCATCAAGCCATCCTGCAGATACAAGAACAGTAGTGTACCCAAATCCAGATCAGTGAGAATGAAGCCCTTCTCCCCTTCTTGTCTGGGCTGGCTTCTTCTGAGAAGCTCGTTCTACCTATTCACCTTCCCAAAGGACAGTCTCTTACCAGAAGCATAGAAGCAATTCCCACGAAACAGCTTTGTCCACGACACCCCTGTGATATTTTACGTACAGTGTGTGACTGAGCACATACTTTCTGCAGCATAATGTAGCTCTTGCTAGATTGAACCCCCCACCCCTATTTACTTCCCTGCAATCTGAATGGACAGGAATTCCCCTTGGAAAATCATACTGCATAGCTGTATATTTGGATGTCAAAAACAACATAAAAATCCTCATTCTGTGGAAAATCTTACTATGTTGAAACTTAGTGCTCTTAAAAAGATGTTTGGTAACTGCTTAAACATATATCAGGCAGCGCAGCCATAGGGGTGGGGGAAATTCCTTTCCAAACAATTCCATGACAGTTCAATCACTTACGTGTCACCCAGATATGATCAAGTTGTGCAGACTTCTCATCTTGTTTTCCATTTATTGATTTAATGGCCAAAACTAATTTCTTCCTGTGTAGTGGATGCTTTATTCCCATTTCCTGCAACAATAACCATTAATAAATAGTTTGCCTTGCCTATGGCTCTTTTCATCTCATTAGGTATCTACAAAAATGGGTACTACATATTTCAGAAAGGTAGAACTGCCAGTTGTTTGAAGTGGCCTAGTTGTACAGAATCAACATGTATGGTTGCTTGAAAGAAACAGATTATTACCTTTTCCATGTCCTGAGGTGTTGCAGTTAACAAAGTATGGCCTGAAGTCACCCACTGCCGTGCAAAAATGATGTACTGACCGAGACCAAAGTCCTCAAGCCAGTTGCAAACTCTTTCAGTGCTCCACTGAGCAAACGGAGCATTGTAGTCACTGAAAAGTACAAGAAATGTTTTAAATTCTTAAAGGAAAGGAATTCTGGTTATTATCAGAAAGCTCATCATGTGCCAGAGGCAGTACTACAGCGTATGTTTTAGAGTGCTTTGTTCTGTGCAATAATAAAAGCTAACAGCCATTCATTCTTGCAGTATATGCCATGGTACTAATGTCCTGTTAATTTGACTGCCCAGCCTCAACTCATGAACAGTTGTGGTGGGGGGGCGGGCGGAGAATAAGAATTTCCCATTTTCTGTTTGAAAAGAGGAAAAAGGGAATTGCTGAATCCTCATCACTTTGCAGATATTCCCACACGAGATGATGACAAGATTTCTCATTCTTTAGCAAGGTAAAATTTTTGACACTCCAAACAAACAGCTAGTGCTGCAACCTGCAGTTGAAGGAGTGCAGATAGATGAGCTATTCAGCATACGTTTCCTACCAGAGAAATTCTTCCCAGTTGTTGTGGAATTCCACATGTAATGAACTGTATTGGGAAAAACGTATTTCACAAGAGGAGGGTTTGGCTATTCAGCACATTTAACAATACCGCATAATATGCTGTGCAAGGTAAAGAAGGAACCATTACCTTTTCTGGCCTTTGGTTTCCTTTGATCTGGATAACCGAGGTCCAGCTGTTGCACGGAGACCACCTCTTCGAAACTCTGCCAAACCCAGATCATCTGCAGGGAAGTTACCTGACTGAGTTCTTCTTATTCTTTCAAGACAAGAGTGCCAAGATAGTACTGTTAGCTTGCAACAGGAAACATTTGTTTCATATGGAAACTATAATGACAACTAGAAGCTGTATTAATCTTCCTGTAAACCACAAACATCTAATTCAAGTGGTAGCTGAAGAAGTTCCAGGCAAACGCTGTCTAGACCTAACTCTGAGGAAAGAAAAAAAAACTCTCCAGAGCAGGCAGAACCCTTCCACCTAAGTAATGATCCACACTGGAGGGCAGACTTCTAAGTATCTGCTGTCCTGAAGCAGATAAAGCAAACACAGTAAAACTCAGTCCCCCTGCTTTTTGTTTCTTCTATTTTCTCTCATTTTTTACCTGATGGCTTCTGTAATGAACAAGTTGCTATCATTTAATTTTTTGTAGCTAATGAAACTGTTGGCATTCTAAATCATTAGCATTATAAGACAGCAGAGGGTATTATTTCTTCCAACAGCATGATGCTGAACACTACCATCCATTTTTCTACACCCATGTGTACGTAGAGACACACCCATACAATCACAGAGCTGCTTTCTTTCTCTCCTTTTCCTGAATTTTACTTTATTCTTGCTGTAGGTTTTGTAGCTTTTGCTAAGAACTGGATTCATTCTCAGCCAAAATGCTTGGACAGGGAACTAAAAAAAATAAAAAAAAAAAAAAAAATCTTACTTTCCCCAGATTCTCTTGATCCCTTTTGGACTCTTTCTGTTTTCTGGAGACAATGGAGATTGTGGACCTGAATCCGTTCCCGAAGAAAGAGGTGAAAGGTCATCTGAGACTACTGTACCATCCACATTCTCTGTTTCTCCTGGGTTAAGAACAGTATTATAATCACGTTGTATACTAATTATTAACAAAGTTTTTATCTGGGACACTAATGTTTAAATACAGAACATAATAAAAAAGTAAAGACATCTACAAAATCGTTCTTGTATTCAAAAAACCATGCTCAGAAGGTGAAAAAAAAAAAAAGTAGCTGTACATTTGATACAAAAAAGAAAGTAATAAAATATTGGGTGAAATAGTATTGTTATTTCAGTAGTTCACATTTAAATACATTACTTTAATTAATTCAAGGTCTTCAAACTGAAGCAGACTCTTCAGACCTTGCCTTGCCTATACTTAATACCAAAACTTCTCCTTCAAAAATCAGCGGGAATTTTTCTGTTGGCTTCAGTGAAAACAAAATAAAAACAAGAATCAGTATCTTTAAAAAATCCCATCCAAATGCCATACAGCAAAAGCTGTTACTTCGTTTCAGTACTGCACTTGAGGAATTCAATCTGAATGGCCCACTTGCTATTAGTATTTCATAGAGAAGAGAAAGGGAGGGAAAAAGGAAGGGAGAAAAGCAGCAAAATTCATGTTAAAGTTGCATCTTGTTTGGATACAGTACCTAGCACTGGTGCACTGACACTCCTGATGCGCTCTTCAGTCATCCCAAGAAGCAGAAAGCCAGATGAAGAAGCAAAGAAGATATAAAACACCAGCAAAAGAAAGTTACAGAAGAGCAAAGATGTAAGCTAAGCATTAAAAGCAGAAAAAAAAAAAAGAAAAGAAGCAGTAATGCTTGACATGAAAGTGAATATGCATTGATGTGCACAAGCCCCAAGAATACAGGTCATCTTAAAAAGATAGGAATGATCATTTATCTTTTTTTTTTTTTTTAAAAAAAAAAAACCAAAAACCTATTCTTAGACTATTTTAACACATTAAGCATATACTACAGAGCTCCATAAAGCCTGCAGAAATCTGAAATGAAGCAATGTCTAAGATTACATCAAATTCCTCTGAAATACAGGATTGGAGGTGTAATGAGTTTACTGCAAGAAACAAACCAACCTGCATAAAAAATTCTGTTAATTCAGTGTATTTAAGGAGTCATTGCTTGTTTCTAGAAAAAGAACATTTTCCTTTACAAGATTACTCATCCTTGGATAATCCTGCAGTTAAAGACATAATAGCATGGCTCATGCATTGCCTACAATGTTGCAATCACAGAAAAACTCTTTAAAAAATGTTGAACAACCCACCACCTATTGAATCAGCTTTTAGGACCATGAAGGCTTTTAAGCCTTAAAAAAAATAAAAGCCATACCAATCAAAAAACCCCCAACCAAACAAAAAAAAACCCACCCCAACTTTTTAAGTGTAGGAACACTTCAAAATCACAAGGGTACTCTTCTGCCCGAGCTCCCAAGCTATTCAGTCCTTGACAAATACCTGGTTCTGTCCCTCACTATAATACTTTTTGTCAATAAATCCATGCTTAAGATGTCACTGAAAAGAAATTAATGCTGGCTTCCACACACGGCTGTGGTTGTAGAATAACAATATACTTGTATTTTCATAATCCACTGTTGTTTTTCTGCACCTAGCCAGTTAATTTTTCACTTGTGGGTCCTCATAAGCTACAGCAACCGACAGTGCTGATACTAGGATTTTTGCCTGAAATGTGCACATTAGGGCTAGTTATATTGTAAAGTTTCACACACTAAAATGCCATGGGATGGCAAGGGACAGGTCTGTTTGGTTTAATACACCAAACTAGTGTACATTTTTTAAAAGTATTGATGATGTACTTGCCTGTGCATTTTTGTTTGCTTGCTTGTTTTTTAAGAAAACAGATCAGCAAACTCAGGGGAGCATTGGAAGCATGTCCAGAAAAAATACTGCTTATTCATATTGTCAGTATGTTTGCATCTCTAAAAGTTCCAATTTTTAGTTAAGAGATTTGTTGACTTTCAGAATGCTCTCCCCCCAATCTTCAAAACAGTGTCTCTTCATTACTTACACTATCAACAATGTCAGCAAATTATATCATCAAGTGCAACAGAAAAGAACGCTCTAACTTAAAACCATACTTTACTCTCCAGTGAGCTAATGTGGAGTATTTTTTGTACATTGTTAAAAAAAGAAGTACAACTTTCCCTGAATCACGTGAACGTCATAGTCCATTGTTCTGGCATAGCAGACTATATACCATGTTATGTCCCGATCCCTCAAACAGTTTGCTTTTCTCCCTTCTACATAACCCTTTCAGAGAGGCGTGGATACATACTTAGGCCCAGGATGCTGCTGTCCTCATTGTCGTTCATGCCACACCCATCCGGCAAATTGTACGTTCCCTGCTCTCCATTCTGTAAGGGTCGGGGCAGCTTTCCTGGCAAGGTTTGATACTTGCTGCCTTTCCCAAGTGGCTTACTCTGGTAAATAAATAAATAAGTAAGTGAGATCACTCATAGTGTTTGCAATCCAGTACATGACATTTTAGAAGTTGAGAAAAAGTATTTGATGTTCACGGTTCAAAATTACACCACCCCCTCCATGTTCCTTCTTACAGATAATTCAATTTAAATCCAATAGTCAGCTGACAAAAGTTTTCTAGCTAAGACACAGCCTTCTCTTTCCTCATCTGCCCCTTCCACTTCAGCCAGACCGTATATTACATTAAAATATATGTTGAATATTACCTGGTTTTATCATAAAAATTTTTCTAGCTGTCTCCCTTTCCTCTAGGACCCTGGCACTATACAGTAATTTGGTCCTTCCAAGGTCAACTTTGATAGTGCCAGAAACATTTTTAGTTCCTTCTCAGCCCATTCTTTGCTCTGTTCTTTCCCCCTATATTTCACCAGACTGACTATGTTTTTGCCTCACAATTGTATCTCACTGGAATTTAAGCCAAAAGTATTTGTATAACTCAGATTTGGTCAAACATATTTGCCCACCACCATTAATAACAGCAAAAGAATCAACAATGAAGTTAGGCAACAGAAATTTCACTTCTGTAAGAATTAAGATCTCTTTGTACAGATAACATTACAAACGTGAGGTTTTTTAAAAAAAATAATTATAGCTAAATATATAGTTGCCAAATATATAGCTAAATATATAATTGCCAAATCTATTATAGAACCTAAGCACAAGGTATACTTTTGATATATGCTGGGGAAAAAATGCAGAAACTGACTTGTATTTTAGGGCTAGTCTGAATGGCTGCTGACTCTACAATGTCCGTCCAGTCAGGCTAAAATAGAGTCTAATGTGTGCTTGCCTGCAGCTATGGTACACATACACAGTGTCACTAGCATCAGGGAGATAACTTATGCTGGGAGAACCGTCCTTCAGCAACAGAGCTCACAAGAGGTGGTCCTCAAAGTCTCAGTATATTGTATTGAAAGGGAACTGGTATGTAGGGTTTACTAAAAATAGAGTATCTCTTAATTGTCCTTGCATTCACTTTTTCAGTGATCAACTACTTGGGGATCTTGCTCCTTGTACAAGGGTAGATTAGAACTTGCATAACAATCTGATAGTTTTGGGCCTAATAAGATACTTTTCCAGCGAAAGTATGCATTTCACAGAGGTACCGTCTACAGTTTTGGAAACGGCACATTGAGACTTCTTCAATACTGAATCCAAATGAAAAGATGAAGGAGCCATCACTCTGGACAAAAATGTATATCCCACAACTGTAAAAACTATAGGAATATAGAGGCTTTTCCAGAGAAGCAATGAACCTGCAACTCCACCTGGCATTAGTGGGAGTGGTGTACATTCAATGTGTGTTTTGGAATAAGCTCATACTGGTAAATGTTTCAGCATCAGAAAGGAGGTTATGTTGGAAAACTTTGTACTGAAAATACGCAAAACATATACAGAAACATGTAGTATGCTCCTATTTAGTAACCCCATTCTAGCAAAATTGTTTTAAAACATTTAAAACATCGTCAGTGACAGGATGATACATGAAATATTTAATGAGATAACCACTGGTTTATCTATTCTTATTTCAAGGCCTAGAGGTGATAATATAACTGCAGTCCAGATTCCTTAATTCCTCACCCCCTGCTCCTGTTTTGGCAACTGCAGGAGTACGTCCTGACTTGTACCAAAAATTATATGAGTAGAGAAATTGCTTATTAAATTAGCACTGTATTTTCTGAAATTGACTGACTTCAGCTTCCAACCTCACATAAAAGCTTCTAAAAATAAAAAAATATTTCCCTCTCAAATCCTTACTCCTGTTCTCAGAGTTTGTCAGTACTTGAACTGTGTGAACATTTTAAAAAGAAAATTAATGTAAAATGAAAACACAGCCATACCGTCACAGCACATCACAACAGATAAATGTTAAGAGAGTTTACAGTTAATATACCTCTTGTTCTACAACAGGCTGTACTGGTTTTCCGTCTACATACTACGGAGTTGCAGGGAGGATAATTTCAAAGTTTTATGGAAAAAAGCAACAGACAAATGTTAGTATTAACATACATACACAGAACATCAATTGTAGTCTTATTACTGTAGTGATGCTACTTAATGCATTGACAATATATTACAAGGTCTGTTATCTCTTCATTTAATTTCAATAAAATATTTAATTCTAAATGTGTTTGTTCAAACCACTCTACAAAATTCAGGCCCTGTTTAGGTTGTGTTGTGATCAAAGGAATTTTTCTGTTTTCAGATTTCTGAGTGTTCCCTTTAGACTTACTTTAAGCTGGGAACATAACAGTTGTTTAACAGTTAAAACAATATGAAAATGACTGACATAAAAAAAGAACATACACAATATTGTATGTATCCAGCTGAAACCATAAAGAGCTGTGATAGAAATGAAGTGATAAAAAGACCAGCATGGCTAGGTCAGAGACACCAGTGTGTTTATTTTATTATCATTATTGCCGGATGTAATTGGAATTTGAGTTTTGTTCAAAGCAGAATAGCTCCAGTAAACAGTGCCACTAGCACAGGTTCTCTTGGACTTAATGGAAGAAGCAAAGTCTTGTCATGCTGAGCCAGCAAAACAAGTTTTCTTGGCCTTAGTTTTGGTTGTAACTAATTCACATTTAGCCACTCACTCATACACATAGGGAGGTCTCAATTATTTCACTAAGAAGCCTCATGCCTAAATTAGGGCAAACAATTTAAATGCCTTGCTGAACATGGGGCTGGCTTGCTACAATTCTCTCACATCCTTGATAGCTTCTTGTTTCTCTATGGACTCTGATTTAACAGAGCAGATTTACAGCCTAAATGTGTAGGTATAGCCTTATCACATCATATCACAGAGACAAACTAAGTTTTTGAATTTAAGACAGGAAAATAATTTAAACATTATGAAAAGAAAACAGACCTTCATAAATTCCACATGGAGTGAAATGTTAGTTCCGAACTGATTTGTCACATGTATGACCACAATCAAATAAGTGCAACACAAATTTCAAACATTCTATTTGGTTACTGTCATCTTCAGGGATTTAAGAAAATTTGAAGAACTGGAACAATCATATTACTAGTATCCATTTTAAATGGCATTACTGGGTGTGGGTAATCTAGTATTAAGCCTAATTTGAGTATAGAAAGTGTCAATAACAGTCTCACAAAGCATAATTACAAGTGCAGAAAAATTTCAGTGTACATAATGACAAAACAAGCCTCTGGAACATAACGTAATGAGACTTTGTAACTTCGAAAGTCTTTATTCTGGAATGGAATTAATCCTTTGAATTAATAACAGTGCTCCTGCTGTTTTAACTAAGGCAGCATCGCTACCATCTTCAGCAATGCCATTTATATCAAAAGTCTAAGTTAGGGAGCGACACTCATATTTACGTGCAAACACTCAAAAAGGAATCCTATGTGGAAATACCCAGTCCCAATATTTAATTACTGTCAGGATTTGCTGCCTTAACATTTTTAGCGATTGGAAGTCAAAATTACTTTAAAAACACTTACCTATAAACAAAATAATACTGCAGTTCAACAAAATGACTCCTCATTAACATTATTTGTTGTATTTCTCTTAAATACTTTTCTTCTCCTTCAGCTGAAAAGCTTAATTTGAGGATGGGTGTGTTAACTAGTTTCTTTATTCCAAGCTTGGCAATGGGGTAAAAAACCAACCTGAACTGTTTTATCATTAGGGCTTTTTTCCCCACATACAATGTTAGTGGTGGTTAGGGTTACTATATATGAAACAAAAAGAATATTTATACTTGACCTTTATCTTTTAGTCGTGATACTAAACACCAGAAATTGTGATTACAAATAAACCAACCTTTTCTAGGGATTCACTCTGCAAATCTTCTAAACTACTTGACTTTTTTTTCTGTGGAACCCTTAAAATAATGACAGGCAAAAAAAGCAATAGTTAATACAACACAGTGTATTTGCATATGCCACAGCGGTATCAAATGACAGCTGTATATATCATGTAATGTCTGCATATAACAGATAATTCAGAATTAGGAGATTAATTTCTTTTGTTTTATTTTTAGCCTAAAACTCATAGTATTGGGAACTGCAATAGATGAAGTCAGAAGGAGCAACAAGACATCCTTTGATCAACAAGGAAAGGCAACAAGGTGCAATGTGCGGTTTTAAACCTTATTTATCTATAGGTGACTTTTTAGAAGCTCTTAACAAGCAAAAGTAGACAGTAGTAACTCTCTGTTACTTTTAAAAGGGCTTTTTAAAAGATTTTAAAAATGGAAAAAGGCAGAATTATAAAAAAATTTCTGGCTATATGTTTCACATTTCAATTAAAGTTACTCATTCTTACCTATTTATGATTTCCAAAGATTCTTCTTGTGGAGAGGTTAAATTAGTTGAAGATACTGGAATGCTTCCACTTTAAATCAGAATAAAATATACTGTTTTAAGTACATGCATCTTCTGATATATAAAAGTGCTAATTTATTCCTTAATTCAAACTTTATACAAGTACATATTGCAAACTCCCATGGCAAATACTGCTTTCACAACTACCCAAAAGTTCTTCCAAAGCCAAGAACGGGCAAGACAAGATGCCAACAGTTAAACAGGTTAAATAATACAGACTTAGGACAATCCACACAAAAAACAAGAAACAAAGGTCTTGCCTGATTTCCATAGCTTTGTGTGGCACTGGAGAGAGCATAGCTGGTGACAATTCTCCTGAAGAGGCCTATGTAAAATATAAGAGTTTCAAGCCTGTAACTCTAGTGCCTGATTCTAAATCTATCGTGCCCATACCAAAAGGCACAAAAATTCAGCCAGGGCCAAACCCTCATCTACATTACGTTAACTACTACAGAGATACCAATACAAAGAAGTCATATATACTGCAGAACTTGCTTCTGAAACATCTTTACTAAGTACCTCTGGTTTAAGTAATTCTCCTTGAGGGTTATTCAAAAGATTCCACTTCCTTAAAGTTGTCTCAAGTTCCTCTTCACTGCCACCAGAGATGGAAGAGCCTGCGAGAATTCAAGATTAGAAGTAGAAAGGGAGAGAAACAGGACCAAAAAAAAAAAAAAAACCCTGTATCAGACAATCTAATATTCAGTCTCTAAATTCCCCTTCAGTCTTCACCTGATGCATGTAGTTTACCAGTCTCTCCATTCCCCAACCCCTCCTTTGGGCTCTGACTTACAAGGAAGCTGATTTGTATTAGAGCAACAAATTTACCACTTCTAGTTATATGCTGTGCTCTGTTGTGAGTAGCCAAGCTGCTTATGAGGCAGCTTCTGAACCACTCTAATTTGTAGTTTGATGTTCTGAGGCAAGTTCAAGTTGGTACCATTTTGTTACTCACAGTGTATCACTTTATAGGTAGTATGCATGTTTGACATCATCTGTATCATAATGCAGTGCCCCATGCTCAGTTCAAGGATGAACATGGTAAATACGCTCCAGGTTTTTCTGGATATCCCAGATCTAAACAAATACTGAAATACTCCAAATTCATTATTTAGTAGGATTTTTATTCCTAAATTGTCAAAGCTGCAATACTAAATCAGAGTCTGAATATTTAGTGCTCAGCAAACTTCGGGAGTATTTTGGGTAAGAAATTTTTTCTGGATATCTCCTATGCATAGGGTTGCAAACAGGATGTGGAAGGGCTTCTGTGCCATGATGGGGAAATTTAGACTGACCTTTAAGCACATTAATAATTCCTCATTTATGTGATAGAGATGCAGCAGCTCTTAGTTATGAAAAAACACCAAATCTTATGGTTAAGCCTTGGCACTATTAGGAGAGAGATCTCTTGAAAACTCGCTAGACATGAGCTTGGTTATCATGCTGTTCAGCTACAAAGACTGCCAACAGCCCTGGTACTGACCATTGGCCCTTCAGGATATGAAGTGAAACTCATGTTCCTGGTACACAGCCCCTCAGCTAGCACAAATTACTAAAACCAAAAGAGCTACCTATAGCTGAGTTCAGGATAGCTCCTTTTCGTTTTACTCACCTGTCAGTGGTTGTTTCAAGCAGCTACCCTACTTTATTCCAAAATAGATTTTGTTTTTTTTTAAATGTGTGTGTTACCTATGGTGAAGAGTCAGTGATCTTTTGTCAACATGATTTGTAGCTTGCCTTAAGCAGAAATAAGAAATGCTTACAGTATGTTGTGTTTCTGTCAAGTAATTATTTGAAACAGTTATCAGAGACAGAAGATTTCAACCCATTTATTCTACCAAAAGTTTTTAAGCAGAGATTAAACTTCAAAGGGAACCTTTAAAACCCACCTCTAGAAATAAAAAAAAAAAAAAAAATCAGCAAGATATTTCTTGGCAACCTAAACATGAGACTCCCACAAACAGACATAAAGTAACAAGCTCATTCAACTGTGATAACATTGTAGCCATCACAGTATGCACCTCAGTGTGGACAATCTCAGTATACACTCTAGTTCTCACACAGGTTTTGGGTTTTGTTTTTATTTTATTATGGTGAGCATCACTGGTTTTTTTTATTTACACTGTACTAAATGTCTATATTAGCATACATTAACACCATCATACTCCCTGCAGCACCAACTCAATAATCCAGAGCATCATGGCTTGCGCCTTCCTCAGGCACGCAAGTGTCCTCCAAAAGCCCCCTGTCCCACAGTGGGATGGTGCACTCAAATATGTACAACCAGGATGTGGCCAAGCAGAGTGGAACGGCAGGGCTTACTGTTGAGAGCACCTACTCTTAGGGTAGCAGTGGTGTAGCTATCTTGGGATTTCATGTCAATATGTCTCCAAAAGCTACAATCACACCTTTGGATTTCCTTTCAGAACACTTTCAAGTGAGAGACCTTTTTCTTTTTTGTAAATGAACATTCAAAGAGAGATTTACCTGACTCTTGTTCTCTATTCTTGTGTGTTAAATACATGTTTCCATTATGCCATACAAGACCTGAAAATACTGTGTTTGTTAATGTGATGACGTACATTGAACAAAACTATCCTTTCGAAGGTCAAGTTTACCAGACTAAATTTAGTACTGAAAACTAAGGTGGCAACTTAAAATGAGATTGTCCTAAAACCCACTCCACTTCCTGCAGCATAATTGATAAATGGGACAAAGATTTTTCCCCAGATTTTGAAATTACATATATAATATTGTGTGCACCAAAGCAACCATGGGTTTTCAGTTGTTCCCTCCAAACCAGAACTTGCCTAGTCGGCTGTCAGGATTTTTCTTAGTGGAAGGGAGGGGCAACAGAACTTACTACACTCATTGCAACTCTTTTTAGCAAAAAAGAAAAAAAGTCCTCCTAACACAGTATCAAATTGCACCTGAGATCAGCTTCCCTTTTATGAATGCCGTATAAAAAACATGACATAAAAGGAAAACATTATGTCATTAATGCTAGCTGGCTGGCAGCTGCCATTCCCAAATTGAACTGGGTGTAGGAAATCTGAATATAGGATGTATTTAATTTATTAATGTTCATCATCCACTAAGGTCTCCTGATATCATTTGACACTGTAGAAACCGGTTACTCATAACATAATGGTCACAGGAAACAGCATACAAATTTAATACCTATCTTGTATACTTTATTAATCTCCTACAGATGAATTAATTTAAATCAAACTGTCATTTTAATTTTGAATCATAGATTTCTGAGAGGGATATAATGCAATTTAATAAGAATACTGTAAACTTACGCCTTTAGCTAATTTGAAGGAACTTTCCTAATTGCCCCTGTGTCGACAAATTCTGTCTGCATGAGTTTCCTGTCGTTTGCTCCCTCCTTCTCACCCTTTTTGCTATAATTCCTTTTGGTCTGGCCTCTGCAACCCATGGGGATGGCAACCAGCAGCAGTGAAAAAGGAATTATGAAGCTTTGGCCATGAAGGACAAATCTCATAGGCCTGCACTGTGGAAGAGACTTACAGGAGTCCCATCAGCGAGGAGGGACAGGACTGCGTGAAGTAGCTAATAAAACCATGGCCTCAGCTGTCCACCCAGCCATCGCTCCATGGATGTAGGAGTTCTGCAACCAAAGCTCCTGCTCCGCTGCAGTATATATAGCAAAGTATTTTAAGGTGAGCAGTTGCTGACTGCAGATTGCCTTGGCACATAAGGAGGTAAGCTGCAGAGCTTCAGATCCAACTGATGAGCAATTCACACAGCTGTACAACCAGAACAGTAATCTCACCAGTCATCCTTCCTTATCAATCAGAATCCTTAATGACACCATCTAAAACAACATATAGCACCAAAATTAGGCTCCAAGGAGGGATTTACTATTAACTGGCGTAGAACAAATTTTAGGTTATGACTTACGGGGTCGAGCATAAGATTCAGTCAGAGAAGTCTTGCTGAATAATAAAATGGTAACTAAATCTCCAGACAGATTTGCCCCTATTTTTTTGTACTGACTACAGCATAGGAAACAAAAAGGAAATCTTCACAAACTACAGGCAGTAACACACAAGCCTGGTCAAGACATACTGTGGTTCTCTCTGTATCTGAAAGAGTGAATACTTGCTCTCATAGCACTGCAACATGATACAAATATATGCATAACGAAATACATATTACTATACACATATTTAAAAGGACAACAAATAGCAGTTGTAGTACATGCAGTTTTTTAAAAGGCCTGATATCACAAGACATTTTACCATGAGCTGCAATGATGATCTCTTTGACCCTCCTGTACTGGCTTAATAATAGTGTTAACTCCTCTATTCGACGGTCCTGTGAAAAGCATTAAATAAAATCGTATTTAAAATCCTACATTTTTAACCTGCAGAAACACTGCAGGTGTTACACATTCAGTTCTGTGATTTTGGCCTGCTTTTCCAGAAAGCAGGATCAGGTCTCTCACATGCCTTGTAAAGAACGTTTCTTGGCTTTTATTTGGCGTCGTACATAGTATTTGCTGGGCAGTGTGGAATTATGCATATAAGCAAACCAGAGAAGTTTGATATTACTAGTAAATTAGTTATTTACAGAAGCGTAATTTGGAACTCTGCTTTCACTTCTAAGAGTCAAAGGAATATTCTGGAGTTGAACCTCAACTGCCTGAAGTGGCAGTGTTTGTTTTTTGCTAGCATCGTACCTGTAATCGTAAAATAAATCATGTTTATGTTTTGTATAGTTTAACAATATAGTCATGTTCTTTAATCCTCTCTTGTAGGGTATGTTCTGCATTCCCACATCTACACTTAGTCCAGTTTTGAATACACCTTTTTGAACTTAGGCAGTCAAACCTGTACAGAATCAAAGAAATGAGGTCTTAGGAATGCCTGATGCATTATCCCACTCCACTCTTTCTCCAATACCTAACGCTTTCCTATTATGTACGGAAAGCATCTTGATTCATGTATTTAGGGAGTGCACTTGCCTTTTGCACAGATGCAACATGGCAATGGGTAGTAATCATTATTTAATTGATGAGATCTGTCATTTCTCTCATTTCCATATATGATATTGTGTCCCCGATGATAATAAATTCTTGCTATCGGTCACTAAGTGTGCGATCTTGCAATTTGCACTCTTATAGTTTGTCGTGTTTCTTTGACCCCGGTTCTAAACCATTCCTGCGCAATATTCTTGTGCAGTGCTGTGACTACTGAGCACTGAATACAAACCCAAGCAAGTAATAAAGAACGAGTTTCACAAGCAAGTGTCAGGAAAGCAACAGAAGCAGAGAAGTGGGCGCTGGGAAAAAAAAACCTTCCAGGGAAGTTGGCAAGTACTTAAGTGATTAGCTGATACTGAGCTGCTGCACTGCCATAGCTAGGTCAGAGATACTTCCATTAAAATCTGCTCCAGTACAAGTATGCCACATTATAGTCATAGCAGGTATCAACTGAGTTGTAGGAGTAACTGCACAGAAACCAGACCTTTACCACATTACAGAATGGTAGATGATGCTGATCCTCCCTTCACTCCTCAGCAAGTACACACAAGACAAAAGAGGCCTAAAATAGATACCCAGTTATCCCAACTATGGATAGAAGCAACAGGTTCTTCTTCGTAGCAAAGAACTGAGACTAACATACCCAGTTTTTTAAAGAAGAATTACGTGCACCACTTACTAGCAGCTTAGTTGAGCACTTTCTGTCCTAAAGGACACAAGGAATATTTAGAGTTATCCCAAAAGCTGTTTAGAGCTATTTTCCCTCAGGAAGAATATTTTATTTTGCGATATTACTGAATATAACAGCTCTACATTAAACATGTAAGAAGCTGTGGGTCAACCATCAGTCCACTAGTTTAAACACTACAGTTTCCAAGGAAACAACTCGCCTTTCCCTGTGAGTATATCCAGGTATTAGGACACAAGCAACAATATTTTGTGCTCCCTTCAAATGCAAAAAACTTACGCAAACTTAGAATAACTTTGGCAAGAGATAATGCCACGTCTTCTATTTTCCAGATGTAAATTTTGGCTTTTTGAGTTTTTAAGAACTAAAGGTTGTTATGAATCACATTAATGTTCTCCAGAATTAACATTGCCCTGTCCAGATTCCCCGTACTAAAGGAAGTTTTTAGGGATATATATTATTGTCTCTTTGATGGTATACAAGTGTGTCACCATAAAGGAAAATCCTGTGGCTTGGTTTATTATCCTAAAACAAGAATTACAATTTCCTCAAGAATTAATCCCCCTCACCCCCCTCCTCCAAAAATAAGGAACAATTTATGTAGTAAGTCAGTGGCATCTGAAGGTGGAGATTCAACATCCTCCAAGACTGAGCCCTAAACTCTGCACTTGAATTGTCCGATTGACAGGCAAAGAGCATACAGGCAATAAGAGACAAAAATCATATTTACCATTTAAATGGGTTTAATTTCACTCCTCCTCTCCTTTAGTACTATTTTTATTTTTATTTTTCTTACCCTTGTCTCTTTAAATCCTGGTCCCTTCCTCCCAAAATTTGAGGCTGATTCAAAGGCCACTTTGACTTTCTCTTAATATCACAATCTAAACTGGGGATATCAATGCACTTCAGATTAGATTGGAAGATGAAGAGCTGCCAGAGATGACCAAACCTTAGTGATCTTTTTAATAGCAGAAACCATGAGATTCTGCTCATTACAGCCTTCGCTTTCTACTCCCCTGTGGAATCTAATGAGCCTCCCAAGTTCTGCAGCCAGGTTAGCAAGGTCAGCCACAATTTCTATTTAAAAATCAACCTTCTGTCACAATCTCATGGGATAATCAAAAAATCAGGGCAATAACTACGCTTACAGAAAGCACGTTATTCAGCTCATTACAGAGATTCAAAACCATCATTTCATTCTTACTATGTAGAACAAGGATTATTTTCTCACCTTTTCTTCATTTGCAGCCAATAACGATTCCATTCCTATCTTCAACCGTTGAACTTCTTGATCTAGAAATGTTTTTAAAATGTTGTAAGGAAAATACACTTGCTATATTTAGTGTAAGCAGTAGTGTTTTGTGATACTCTCCCTATGTTCTTACAAGTAACCAAAACCATGCCAGTGGCATGGCAAATGCACTGTTAAACTACATTTAACTTAGAGCTTTTCAAAAGCTGAACTATTAAAAGCATCGCACAACACAAACATGCTGGTTTTGCTTATAAAAGGCTACATAATATTATTTCATACTCTGAGTCAAGTAAAAAAAAAAAAAAGAAACGTTGAAGCTTATTTTGCAAAAGATGAGAGTGCATTTACTGTTACACATTTAAGGAAATAATTTTAAGTATGATTGAAAATTAATTATATTCCATCTGGGAAAAATATTCACCAGTTTATGACAAGTAGTTCAAGGACATTCATGAAACTTGGAAATGAAAAATAACAAAAACTATTTTGATCCGAGGAAAATTTGTAAATTTTTTTTTCTTAAAACATTTCAGTATGAATAACTGAGTTAAAATCTACATCAAGAGCTAATACAGAATTGCCTCACACAAAATTTAGTGTTACAAGATAGAGGTTGTTCAGGAATGTTATAGTCAAAGACAGTTAAAACACACTCTCTGAAAATTTATGACGTTGTTAATCACATCACCCAACTTTGCTGAACCAAATCTTTCATTTCTTCTCTACACACTGTTCCTAGCAAGTCCTCCAGTACCAACCTATACTAAATAAAGTCTAGATGATGAAGACAGAACCTGAAATAGTTTATGTGCTGTAACTGCCACTCAGGGAATTCATGCTTTGACATTAAAACAGACCCACTTGTTTCACAAAAGACTATGAAAACCAGATGTGGCAGGCATGAAGTGAGAGAGAAGACAGAAAATCAATCTGCTACGGAGCATCTTTAAAAGAAATGTTTTACAACTAAATGTTGAACATACAATGTCATATTTAGACTATAGGCAAAAGCTGTAATTAGTTTTTCTTGTAGTGATTCTGAAAAATACACACCTTGTAATAATTAAGTTTTAAAACATGTAAATGAACTTTACAAACATTTCTCTTGCAAAAGAGAACACTTAGTAACACAAGACATGCACAGACACAGCCAAATCAAAAACTAAAGCCAGCAGGCAGCGGGCAAGCAATTGGAAGGTTTTAAAAAAGCCATTAAAAATCACAGTTCCACTAATTTATCTTTATAAATATTAGACTTCAAAAAGAACTGGTGTCAAGGTATTATTAAGCACATTAAAGCAAACTTTACTTACAATATTTATAACAACATCAAGTATGGAAACATTTTTATTAAAACTGTTTTTTTAAATATAGTGCACTGATTAAAAAAAAGCCCAAATCCTTCCCCTCCAAGGAAGGAGGCTTTCAATTAAAGCCATCTTTCCAGATCGGTTTTACATAGGTACAAATAAAAAGAGGTAAAGGTTAAGTTTTGGCTCTGTTAACCTTGACAATGTCCCTTTGAAGTCCAACTATCTGATTTGTGAACCTCTGATTTTTTTTTCTGAAGTGAAATCTTACTAAACAGGGCAAGTAGCTGTCTGCTTGCTGCAAGCAATGAAAGCAGTGTCTCATGTATATTACAATTAGACAGCCAAATCTAAACAAACATTGAATTATTCCTGCAGAATGCATTTGAGTTATAATTTGTGTGAAAGAAACAGTGAGATAAAGCCAAGAGTGAATTGCAAGGCTTACGTTTTTCTTTTAGCCTTCTCTTATAAACTTCCTCTACGATGGTAAATGGTGAGAGTCAAATAAAGTATGTAGAAAAAGCACATATTAGATAAATTTTGCAATTTAATTAGAATATGCATTCTAGCATACTACAAGTACATTGACATTATTTTCCAACTTTATTTGAGAATACCACCTAAAAATCTGATAAATCAGTAATTTTTTTGCAGAAGAATTATTACTGCTGCATACTGTTTCCATTCAAATATAGTCTAAGTGGTTTCCTTAAAGGTAGCCTAAAGAATCTGTACAGGGTTTGATTCTTCTCCCACTGGAATCAAGGACAGTTTCACCCATCTTCAGCATGAACAGGAACAGACTAGAACTTTAAAGTTGTTGAGCTCTTGATTTATTGTCACACTACTATCTTTCCCTTGAAATATCATAAATTATTTGGGAATCTCATAGAAAATACAAAATTCTATTAGTAGAAGAGTTCCTCTACAAAACACTGCTGTTAGACAAACTAATTTTCTAGTTAGACATGCAGTTCTCTACATGCACAAGCTCTGCAGCTGAGTGAAATCAGCACCAAGTGTATGTTAAGTCACTTATTTGGAACAAACAACAGTCAAAATAGAGTCTTCTAGAAAAGACACATCTGCATTAATTCCTGTAAGGAGATTCTTGGTAAGCGCTGAGGAGGAGGTAGCACAGCACCTGAAAAGTCACATCTCAACAAGGGCACTCTTTGGAAGCGTCAGTTAACACCCACAAAAGAAGTTAGTGCCGCTAAGCTGATGCACTGCGTGTGGTCAACTACACACAAATACTCCTGCGTGGGTAAGTGCCAGTGTTATGGAAGAAAAAGGTCACTAATATCATATTGCTCACACCCAGCAGTGGACAGAAGCTCCAGGGAGTCAGTATTTCATAGAACTGTGACATGACTGGTTGAGACCAAAGGCTCAACAAACTGGTTTATTTGCCATTGACCTGTATCAACAGTGCAGATTTAAAACAGAAACCTGCAATATCATAGAATCATAGAACAGCCCAGGCTGGAAGGGACCTTGAAAGACCACCTGGTCCAACCTTTCATAGGAGAGGGAGCCTAAATGAGATACAGTCCTGAAGAAAGGAAAGACGCGAATCAATGGCTATGTTTTAGAATGTTTGGACATTTAAATGACATTATGGATAGCTACTACTGTGGCAATTTTTTTTTCTTAAAAAATGGAAACTGCAAAGATTTTTCAAAGAAATTTTGAAGGTATGCACAAAAAATATATTTCCACTGAACTACAATGACTCTTTCAAATTATAAATAAAATGCCAATAGAAAAAGTTTCAGTGCCCTTAGGATACTTATTGCTATTTGTGCTGGCTTTAGATTGGGATAGCATTTCACGTATCAAAGGCCTCTACTCTACCAGAAGACAAAATAAATTTGCACCATTTTTCCTCCCAAAATAAATTCTGTAAGTCCATTCTTGCATCACTTTGTATTCCTTTGAAATACTGTAGTAGGGTTTGGGATTTTTAATTTTAATTCCCCTCCTCTTACCTCTTTCTGCCACTTCACTATGTGATGAGGTCCTAGATAGCTGACTTTGTAAGCGTTCTATTTCTGCATCTTTGAGAGCTAATTGCTCTTGAAGCTGGGCTATCTCAGCCTGAAAGAGAGTACAACAAATTCAGAATAACATCAGTCATCAATTCTTTGTGATTCTTTCGCATCAACTAGAAGGCTTCTAAGTGTAACACTTTACTTTGACTGATGTCCTGTTCCCAATTCAGGACATTTCATAAACACTATAACAACCTTACATATTTCATGGTGTAACTATCCTATTCCTTTTACAGAAGCTCACTTTTTCCAATGCAATTAGCTCTCAGAGAAGAGAGATTTACAGAAAGGTAAAATTTTCAAGGATTCATGTAGGTAAAAAAGCTCTGGAAAGCTCTCAGTGCTCTAATGCCGATCATACAATAATGACTATTATAGGGCAACTCCTGAGTTTTGCATGAAGACCACTAAAAGATAACAAAGCATTTTTTAAAAGATACTGGTTTTTTATCCTAGTTATTACTTCTTAATATAACTGAGAATCTATTAATGCTGAGCCCTTTCCTCAGCAGCATGACAAAACCGTTCTTCCTCACATCAGATACTACAGCAATAGGCTAGAAGCAAAGCACGGCTTGGAAAACAAGCACATATATGCAACAAAGTATCAGGGATTCATTTACAGTTACTGCAGTTTGTGCTGCCAGTGGATTAGGATATAATATCACACATTAAAGACCTCAACAATACAGAGGGAAAAGAATTCTATGATTGTCCAGCTTGAAATACAGTGACTCTCATCTCTTTTTCCTACTTATGAGAAAAACGGTCAATAGCATACTTTACTAAGTCAGTAACTTCATTCAGATTTTCCTCAGCAGCATTAAAGCCTTTATATATATATCAATATTCTGCATTTCCCCCAGCAAAAGCATACCAAACCTCCTTGCAGTTAAAGAAAAAAAAAAAAAAAGAAAAAAAAAATCACTAATGTGACCAATTTCTCAAAATACTAAAATAAAGCAGGAAAAAATGCAAAACACCAAACAACATTATCTGAACAGGGTAAAAACATGGACTAATTTACTCTAACACACAAACTTATTTCACCAGGAAGCAAGCAGCTGGATGGCAGCAAAAGATCACCACTCTGCCTGCAATTCCATATGGAATAGAAGAATCTGCCTTGTTGCATCTCTGAAGGGATCCTACACTTCCCAGTGACTAATATGCTTTTTATATCCAGCCATGGAAATATTCCAATTTCTCATCTAAGAAGCTGGAGCAACAGGAAGACAAAAGCTGCAGACCTCTTAATACCAGATTTGGAGTTGCCTCTCCTGGTCTATTTGATCTCATAGCTCTTTTAAATGCCCTCTTTTTCCTTTAATGTCTCATTCCTGACATGTCTACAATTATTTTTCTTCTTCCTCTCTCCTTCCCTGTACTTTTCTTCCTTTCTAGTCCTGTATCTTTTCTCACTCAATGGGTTTTACAATTCTTATTTCTTTTTTCCAGTCTGCTCCTATACTTTCCATAATCTTTATCTGTCTTGGCAGCTGGCCACACACTGCTTGAGAAAATATTTTCCCAAAGACTCTTAATTTCCACCATGTCAGATAAAACATTTTCATGGATACAAGAGCTATTATCTTAATAGGAAAAAAGACATGATAGCAACATTTCAATATTCATCCAAGAATTCTCAAAAGAAAGAAATGCTAATACAAATAATAGCTATCTGTCATTTCTGGATCAAGCTATCACGTATTAAAAAGAAAACTCAGTTTAGTAATTTGAACTGTTTTTCCAAGATCCAACCACAACTCAAAAAAGTCAGTCATTCGTATGAACAGGGATTATACTGTTACACAAATGAAAGGAGATGTGATTACAGCACAAAAGTGTACCTCAACAGAGAAAAATAATAACGTGCTTTTTAATCTAGTGGAAAAGGGCTAAAAATTGAAACTAGAAATAAAGTGCAACTGTTTAACAATGAGAATGTTCAACTAGAAAAATTAATTACTGTGGAAAATGATGAAATGTTTCAAATGTGGAGTTTCTCCAGATTACTATCCAACAGCTTTCCAGGATTTAAGGTCAACAGAAGGGTAAGGCAGCTATGCACTTTGATATACACGAAGTCAAAGCAGATGATCTAATGGTGTATTTTGGGCTTAATGTCTATTAAAATAAATTCCATAGTAAATGAACACCCAACCAACTTTGCCTGTCTCTTCTCTTCAGTCTGGAAAGCATATTCCACAGAGGCTTGTCACCATTACACAAATAGAAGACAGAAAACCTTTAAAGAGGCCTTTCCTCAGAACAGGTCTTGTGTAAGTCAAATGCCCTTTTTTTTTTTCTTTTTCTTTTTTTTTTAAAATAAGAATTACAAAAAGGTAGAAGACTGGAAACTGCAGGGAGGGAACAAAAGGCATAAAAAGAAGCTACAAAAACTTTAAAGCAAAATACTTATTCCAAAGATGGTTGAAGAAAACTTGACTTTATAGTAGGCCCTGACACAAGGGAATTGCAAGAAAAGTAAATATTGGTGAGAAGTGGAGCATATCCCTTTCCAGCTGAAATAAGTCTGTCATTAGTAAATGCCAAGTATTCTGCTTACTTTAGTTGCTTTTAATTTCCACTCGTATTGATTTCTTTCATTTTCCAGTTCTTCCACTTTAATTTTGAGGTGTCTAAGTTCCTGTAGCAAACCCTGCAAAGGAAGAACAGCAGCTAAAAGTAAGATTAGTCTGGTAGATATTAATTTTCCATAGTCCTGAATCAAAGATCATGCGTGAGCCACACAGTAATGAACACTGAACCACTACATTAAAAACTCTGACCTAGTCTAAGATGACAAAAAAACTATTTTGAATTGAGAGATAAGGAATACTTTCTCAAACTCTCCACCTGAAATTACGAGCAAATTTTAGTCATATTAAGGAATGCAGCTGAGCCTGGTGAAGTTGTGTGTGTCTCAGTGAAAATGAGCCAAAAAATCCACAACTGCAGTCTCATGTAACATTAACTATTGGGGTTTTGGGGGGAGTTGGGGTTCATTTGTTGTTTTGGTTTGGGTTTTTTATTTTGCTTTGTTTTTCAGCTACCTCAAAGTAAGCAGAAACATGCAGTGCTAAAAGATTACTAACTTTCATTAAAGTGACAATCCTCTCCCCAACAGGTGTTTAAGCTACTTACCAAGAAAAATAACACAGACTAACTAGTATCTAGCAAGTTATAGGCATTTAACACCATACCCATACCAGTCAAATATGACTACAAATATGCTACTTTCAGCATTGATGTCTGCCACTTTGCAAACTGAGTTGAGGCAGCCTAGAGCTGCAGCCAGCCAAGGTTCCTAACATTCTCCATCTGTTCCTCTGACAAAGTTGTCTCTAAATGTCCCTTCTCCCTTTCCTTGATAGAACCGTACCTTATTGTTCATTCTGAAGGACAACATTATTAAATCCCTGATGGAGCTCTGACGAGACCAAATGTCTTAAAATGAAGGAATGGAAAAATTTGGAAATGTAACTCAATTTTGGAATCCTGTAGAGTATATACATTAAGCAACCATACTAATATCTTGGATTAAATTAATGTTTATTTTTAATGACTCCCAGATTTGACTCTCAGATTATTTCCCCAATATGCATCTTGTACTATAGTCTAATAGTTCACTAATTAGTTCTGAACAGAGGCAAGCTCAGAAACAATAGCACTATTTTCAAAATAGGCATCATACCCAAATTAGTTATTTTTTTAAAATAAACCTATGAGAAAAATTACTGAAAAACTCCCTCACAATGTAAGAAGATTATTTATAAAATGAGTTCTGAGTATCCAAATTTTAACCAAAGAGATGTGGCAACTAAAGCAAACTGATTGAAAAGCAAATATTAAAATAAACTTTTTCAGGTATACCAGTATCATTCCACCTTCAGTAAATTTAAGCAGTTTATGCAAAGTGCTTTTGTTTTGACATGTGACATGGTTTTGACCAAATACAACGAGGATCTGTAATGTAAATTCAAAAGTGCTTTTCTAGTAACTGCTAATGTCAGAGAATAAACAAAAATATCTTGGATTTGCTATCTGAAAGGTACAAGTAGATTATTTTTATTACGGCTTTTTTCATTCACTTTAACATTATGATTAGAAAAAGAAAGGATACATTTCAGATAGTCTTACCTGAAATTTTATACCTGTGTTAAGCTTTTAAGATATTCAGGAATTAATAACCTGTGTTCAGAGGACTGGTTAGGGTGCACAATCATGCACGGCTAGGGTGACGTTATCATGAGGAAAATTAGTGAACTACCAAACCATGCTAGCATGCTGCATATCAAACAGACAAGTCTCAACTAAGGGAAAAAAAAAAACAACAAACCCCCAAATAAAAAAAAACAACCCACACCACACCAGCACTACAGGCATACAACTAACAAGTAAAATGAAAATCATAAAAAAACTGAAAGAGGTGATTGGGTGTTACAGATGTCTGTGCTTTAGTAGACAAGCATCAATGGTGACCAAATTTGTCCCAATAATTGGGGGTGGGGTGTCAGGGGTGGGGTTTTTTTTGGTAATTTTTATGACCACCTCACTCTTTGCTAATGAAAGCCACAACGATTAATGCCAATAATTCACAACATAGCTCTGGTTAGTGGAATTTTGTTTCTGCAAGAGAAGAGAAGAGGCAATATACAGGCTTCTGCTAAGGTGTACTTCTCGTACATCACACCGAGAGCAGTTCTTCTGGCTGAGAGCCTCTACCACTGATCTTGGACTAGATTGAGGACCATTAGGTGTCAAGTCTGGTTTCCTATCTTGGGACTTTCTTTCTTGGATTCTACTATTAATTTCCAGTTGCAGTCTACACATCTGCTCCTGTAGCTCACTGATCAGGTTCACTACTGACTGAAAACATGGGAAGAAAGGAAAAAAAGACAAAAAAAGACAAAAAAAAAAGGTGAGAAAGAAAATGATGCAAAGAAGATATTTCTACAGTTGCAGCACAAAGAAATACATGAACCATGTCAAAGGCAAACTAAAAAAAGACAGATGATGTGTTTTCCTTCTGAGTATACGTGAATGGGTATAAATCTGGAATATCGCACAAACCTACAGTTTAAATAGAACAGGATCTATATTCCAGACTAATTCATGACTCTGATCCTAATGTGAAGATCAGAATTTGGCCCCTCATTTTTGGAAACTTATCCAGTCACATAAAGTCAGATATCAGGAAAAATTGGAACATATTTTAATATGCTGGCTCAGAGGCACAATTTTGCTGAAATGGACTTGATTACATTCATTTACACAGCCAAATCATCCACTAGGAAGAAATTGCTAAGTGCTGAGTTGGGGCCATAACCTACTCTTTCACAATTTATACACAGAATTTACTAATAAAGTAATTCTGTTTCCAGGTCTAGCATGGGTCAGAAAAATAACTCCATTACCTAGCTTGCTAGCTAGGCAGTACCTTGACAATGGAGAAAGAGTTAAGCAACATACATAGGAGAAATCAAAGGATACCACAGGAGAAAAAGTAATGACTTTTAAAGTGCACTAATTTGCTGGCCAGCTTCTTGGAATTGTGTGTATCAGTAATACACACAAAAAAATCCAGCTACAGAAACCGAACCAAAGTATTAAAATCTATATAATATTTCACTTAAATTCCCTAACTCAGTAGCAAATAGTGCTGGGTATTTTCTCAGGCATTATAAGATTGGAATGCCTTTCTCTTAATTTTCATGTACATTAACAACATGTTTTGTGATTTCTCAATCTTCTCAAGTAGAATAAACTTGATGAGATTAATCCATCTCCCAAAGGAGTGAAAAAGTTTTATTTTCTTCATTACAATGTACAACAGTCCTCCTATAATCTCAACTCTCTGATGAACCAATAATCTCAAAGCTAGGTAACAGCTACTGCAAGCACAGGACACTATTCTGACCAGGTAAGTATTTAACACAACCAATCTCAAACTGTATCAGCATCCATAGACAACTTTAAACATTCACAAAAGTTCCGTTTCAAAAGCATATGTATCAGTTAGGTAAAAGAGTTTCACATCAATTAAGTATTTTTCTAGGGCACTGTGCTTAAGATGAAATTCAGAAAAGCAGTTGCATATATTTCACTTTACACATATTATTCTCAATCAGGATCACAATGCCTGATGCTCATCCTCTTTCATCCAACAAACCTTTTATGCATGTAAATGAGGATTAGTTCCGTAAACAATCAAAAAATTTAGAAAGAGACTGGGGCCCAGCATACCAACTCTGCAATATCCAGTCTTTTATAGGCTGACATGTTTTTTTCAGGGCTGCACAGGTAAGAAAAGATATCCTCCTTCAGCATCAGCTCCCCTAGGTGAAACCGTATCCTTCATATGTTCAGTGACTACATTAGCTACTTTGCAGCAACACAGTAGGACAATGGTGAGGAGAATGTGCCCCTAGCCAACTCATTCTCTTATCAGAATGCTGCAAAGCAGAACACCCTTAGGACTAGCTATATGAACAATTTAGATACTATTCACAATCCCTCCATCTTCCATGCTTTGATTTTGTTTCTTTTGTACCATCACCTCCACAATCGGACGCCTCACTGAGCAGTACCAACTGGGGACTGGAATCATCAGGACACATCCATCTCTTGCTTTCTTTTAAGCATCAAGGTTTTAGTCTGTGCTCGTCTTTGATAGGGAACACTGTTAATCCATATGAGGTTCTCAAGAATCACTGCTCAAACAAGATGCACAGACTTTTAAGCACAAACCGACAGCTGCTCCAGTTGTGGCAACACGGGAGAGTTCAGAAACACTTCTGCTGCCACCTTGTAATTCTTTTTGCTTTTGCCTCACATTAGAAATGGGAATGGGAAACACCGTGTCCACACAGACTTCCCTCAGGGCAAACCTGACAGTACAGAAATGGCAAAAATCCTTACTCCATTGAAGGATAAGAGGTCTATGGAGGAGAAACAGATGAACTCCAGCTGCAATATATGCCTTTAAAGTTGTTTCTAGTTTCAAGGTAGAAAAGGCTTCTCATGTTTGAGATTCTTTCACAGCATAAAAATTTATTAACGCTAACATACTAGATCTTGAATTTGATTCAGGTGAGACAACAGACCAAACTCCCCAGTGGGAGTCAGTCACTCATTGACTCAAGTTTCTTTGAAATTGCAAGTAACTATGCACTAGATATTTAATTCAGAAGCGTCCACTCAAGAGCCACAAAACACTTTCCAACAGCTTATAGCAAACTTCAGATCCTCAGCATGAAAAAGCAAAAACCACAAAACTTATCCCATGCTAGAAAAGAAAAAGTAAGAGAGAAGGGCTGCTAAGCAATTTGAAATGGACAATTATTCCTGCAGTCTCTTGACAGCGACAGAAGGTCTCTTTTGTCTATGTTCAGGTAGAGCAGGCATCTGGGTGCCATTAATCACTTGATAATGCTGCTCGCTCATACCTTGCTACATTAAGAAAACACATTTCCAAAATTTCTAAGGCTTCTCAGGTAAGAGAAAAGCTACACAAACTCCCTCAGGTGGGATTTCAGAAGCCTTCACAGCATCACTGCGGCAAAAATAGAACATTATTCCACAAAAAAGGAATTAAAATGACAAAGCCAAGAGTGAGACTGTCCATTTACAAGCAGCTATTCTCCCGGCCCCTGTGTTATATATATAAATAAATGGCACTTTAAATTTAGCATGTGCTTTTGAAGAGCCAGAGACAAGTGGCATTTAGCATGAAATTAATACCTTTCAGAGGAGGTTAGAGATGCTCTTTGCTGCTAACTAAAACCAAAACTAAACCACAGCTGCACAAAATAAAGTGAAACGAATCTGACACATTAAAACTTGCTTATATCTATCAGGGTATCTTAATTTGTTTTGTTTCCCCCCAACTCAACCAGAGAAATAATTCTACAGATAAATTCTATGTGACTGGAAGCAGCTGCTGTGAAATAAGCCAACACAAAATTAAAAGTACAGAGCAAATATATTTTAGCTGAATTATTCTGCAATGTCATATTTAATTTTAAACTTTTTAAAACCCATTATTATATTTAGAAATTGCAGCTATGAAGTATAATTAACAGGTTGTTTAAAATGGTTTAACTACTGGATGCCTCTGTAACACATGCACTAGGGTGAAAACTGGGGACTATTACTTCTGATAGTAGCAAGTCTATAAAATCACTGTTCTGTTCACCTCTGTCAATCCTAAATTCAGTCTTAAAAGCAGCAATTGGCCAGCTGTAGTCTATAAGAAAGTCTCTACCTCTGGGTGACAGAGGTAGCTTTGTTCCACTTATGTAAAAATACTAAATGCAATTTCATTTGAGGCATCATACACTGTAAGAGCATGTTGTAGTAGCCACGACATTCAACAGTAAAATTACAAGACAATTCATTTCATTCAGTCACTATCAGTTTGGAGAACTGTCTCACTCTGAAGCAATTAGGTTACCACAACACAACTGCATAAACAAGAGCAAACTAAAGGTAGACTGTTGGCATATACAAGAGTGGGTTATTCACTAGAAAGATGTAGTTGGGCAGTGGAGGCAAGGAGTTCAGGAAGAGACTCAAAGGTATTACCCAATTTAAGCAACAGTTGTAGTCTAATAGTATAAAGAAACTGTATTAATAAATTTCATTCTGATATTTGAAATTGTGTTTCTATTGAAAATTAGTAAAATTTACAGTAAAAGGAGCTAAAATAGGGTTAAAGCATTAGAATTCAAGTAAGCATCCAGTTTGACTGAAAGCAACCCCTCTGTTCATCTTGACAAATTGGATTAACGCTTATTCAGGACAATCTGAAATAATTTTAAAAATAGCTCAATGAGCAAACCAAAAAATGCTGTTTATTTCCCACACCTTTACTTACAACACCCATTTTCCTTGCTTTGTAAACACAAGTTTGCGACTTTGAACAGGCCAGAAATCTAATCACATGTTGGGGTAGTTAATAATTCAGGGCATATTAACACAATGATTCTCAACTTTTCCATCAGATTAGAATCCTCTTCCATCTCAACAGGAATGTTTCCTATCACTTAGCAATACAACAAAGGCTTCCAGGCCAACAAACTCAACTTTTCCATACAAGGGGGCCACACACCTTGTTGCAGTGGCAGAAGAATTTCACAGGTCATAGCCTCACCCTCATCACAGGCCCAGACCTACTGGGTGCTTAAAAGTCCTGTCAATGCAAATGTACTCAAAAGCTTTGTTGCTTTCCAGGAGTCAGGCTGACTGTGCACGTTCTGCAATAATTTAAGCAGCCTCATTCTCGTATTCGACAGGTAATGGGAAGTGCTGAAGGCCTCTCAGGAAGGTGGCTGCTGGGAGCGGGCTGCCATCTGTAGCAATTAGGCGCTGCACGGACCCGTTTAGATTTTCAGGTAGTACGAGACTGCTTAGGCCTTCTGTACACAAGACACTGACAATTATGGGTGAAAGAGCATGAGAAGGCCACAGATGGTAAAAACAGCAGCTGGTGCCTCTCCGGCTTGCAACCTCTGCCAGAAATTGCTCTCTTTAAGCTATCTTTCAATCTCTAAAGAAAACTTCAGAGGATAAATAAGTCAAAAAACAAACACACCCCAAACGTATTATGTCACTGCAGGTAAATTACTTATGCATAGTTATCAAATATTCCACTGGCAACATTATGGAGAGCAAACAGTTTTCTAACACTGCCTGGATTTCAAATTCTCGTAAGTCAATGTGGAACATAAAGTCTTTTTTCAGTCAGCAACGTATAAATCTTGGACCTAGTAATCCTCCCTTGCCAGCTAATCCTCTCCTGCTAGTTGGTCCCCTTACAGGACCACTGAGTAGGGCAACACATGGCAATTGGTATGAATTACTGTCTTCCATAATTGCCTTCCTTCCCAGCCCCACCTGCTGCTCACTACCATGAAATGGATGCTGTTCACATGATTCCCCGTTTCACACTCTCTTTCTTAACCAATATGGTAAAAAGCAAAGCTGCTTTGATGTCCAGAACTCTCCACATCTGAAGAGGAGTAAGGATTAGAATTTCCTCCAATGCATGTCATTTTTTTGCACTATTTATTATGTAACCACAAGGGGAAAGGCTCATCTGAGGAAAATGCCCTGCCCCTTGCCTTTCCCTCCAAGTGCCATGAATGGATTAAAATCACCGAGGGTGATCATCTAAGTGTTTGTAGCACCCCTGGTACTGCTGAGCTGACAGTCTTCTCTGCCACATAAACGAGGAAAGAGAAGAGCTCTGGCAGGCCTGCTGTGGCCATGCCAGGCCAGCTCCTGTGGAAAGGAAAGGGTTAAGTGAACGCCAATTGTAATGTATGCTTCTGGAACAGACTTTTTGCCTTGATTAAAGCCAAACAGCAACCTTTGAAGTATAATGAGAGAGGGGAAAAGAAACCACATCCCAAAAATGCATAATCATATTCCTTGCTGAATTTACAGGATCAATGATAGGGCCTGTGCTTTAAGCACAGACAATCCTATTGCATGCTGATTTCAGGTCAAAAGCTCAGGTGTATGACAGCATACCATAGACATGATAGAAAAAAAAAGAAAACAAGCTAATGAAAGAAACTCACCTCAGCTTTGTTCTGTTTCTCTTCATATTCACTCTGTTCCTTTTCCATACCAACCAGCTTAATCTTCAGGTCTGAAACTTCAGCCATTAGATCTAATTTCTCAGTCTCTAGTGATGTTCGACTTAGCAACTCCTGAAAGCAAAGCAGAACATTTTCTCCAGTTATTTATTTGAACACTGACAGAATGCTACGTGATTTACTGGCAGAGCCATAGAAAAGTCTCTACCCCAGTGTTTAACGCTTTCAATACGAAAGCAAAATGATTCTCTTCTTCAAAAGTCACACTTGTTACCGCTTTACAATGCAAAAACCGCAGCAAGATAGATTTGATGCAAGCATTTACTGCAGGCAGAACAAGTAACTAAAAAAAAAAAAATTGAGTGATTGGCAAATTCATATGAAAGCAAATTTCTCTACCTCTCTTCACGGCGTGTTTACTTTGAACTGTTTGAACTGTGTTTCTTGAGTTCTCCAGCTATTTTCACCTAAACATTCTCCTGTGTTAATCACTAAACCACTGTATCCCCCTCCCTATTTCAAGAAAATGTGTGGCAGAGTTAATCCCTGGGCAAGACATGAAATCAGAAAACAATACTAAGGCTGAACAAACACAAACCTACATAATGCCATAGAGACCTTCACATGACACATTACAAAACAGTTGGCTACTTCCTAAAATACTCATCAGACAAAGGTACATTTTAGTATTACAATGAAACATTTTACAACTTCTTATCATGTGTTGTTCAATAAAGGATGTATTACAGAATGAGCACCCTAACCAAAATAGAGTACCAAAGACAAGCAACGTTTCTGCAGTCATGCTAATAGCACTTAAAAGTTTACACCATGTAGTACTTGTTAACTATTGAAGGCTACACACTCTGGAGGGAACAGCACTAAATGAAAAGTGGTATGCCCTAACTGGAATCTAAAAGGCAATGTCTAAACAGAGAAACAACTGGCCATGACTTTTGCTTGTGTGCCCCGAATTTGTTTTTCAGATTGCAGAGAAAGGCATACTTTGGACAGAATGGTATCACTGTGTTTGGAAAACATTCAATATTCACACCTTCACTGCATCTTTCAGTTTTCAAGAAAGCCAAAGCAAAAAATCTTCCAAAATTTAACAGAGTGTATTATACATATAAGGCTTCTGTTGGCCTCCATTTTCAAAGAGAAAAAAAAAAAAAAATCCATTCAGGAGTTTAAGCCTTACTAAAAAATCAATACCTAACTTTCAAAGTACCTAACGAATTTTTGCAAAAGAACTTAGGTTTCTAAACGGTTAAAAAAATTTATGGTAATTCATAACTTGCATTGGTGTTTTGATCATATGAAATGCTCTGAGGAATCACAGCAGATTCTGCTTTGAATTACATGGAAGTGACTTAACTGAAGTTGGTATAGTTATTCTGGATCTATGCTGATGTTACTGAGTGATCAGAAACTGCCCTGTCCATCACCCTTTTTTCTCATCTCTTCCTCTTCCACGAACTGTATGCTATGTGGTAGACTATGGCTTGGAGCCAAGGAAGCCACAAAGGTTATTTTAAAAATTATAAAGTTAAAGTTTGTTTGGAACCCAAATCTGCTCTACACGTAAATTGTTTTAGTCTGGTGCGGAATACTGCCCAAATTAAAAATAATACTAGACTTGCATTTGCGTTGCAACACTAATTATCTAAGCCACCCACTATTCCCAGTGCCATGCCCATTTCTGCTGACATTGACAAAGATATTTGTGTATGGATGGGAAAATAAACAGAAATGTAGCCTCATGGTTTGTTTGGTTTTTTTCTCTGAATGAAATAAATCAAGCACTAATCAGGAAAAGATAGTGCACTGACTTTTTTTTATTGAAAAGCTCTAAGAGGCAGTCACCTAATGAAATCCCAGTAGTAGCTGCTTTCTACAAAGGTGATTACAAATTACAATTATAACTACAAATAACTTCTTTATGTTCCAGAAAAACACTAATTTGCACAAGTTCCAGAGGCACATTCCAGTCAGACTGGAACAGGCTCTGTACAGCTGTTAACATAGCAGACTTTTGCAGATCAAGACGCCGTTATAAATGAGAATTTTGATAGGAAATAAGGCCACTGAACATAAAAAAGACTAGCAGGAGGAGGTGACTTGGGCCCCATGGGCAGACTCTATTCATTGTTGAACTGAAACAACATTTAGAATTTTTTTTGACACTGACATGGTGTTCCATGATACAACAGGAAAATTTCTTAATAAGGCAAGGAGACATGGCATCCCTCTAGAGATTTTTAACAAAAGATCTATCCTTTGAGTGCACCATCTGGCATCACTCCTTACTTTTTCTACAGACTCCCAAATTACACTTAGTTATGCAATGGAGAGTAATACCTCACTCCTCCCATTCCGAGTTCAGTAGCTCCATGTGAACACTAAGGTGCTACCTGGTGTAAGTGAGCATGAAGGCAGCTGACCTTTTTTTTTTAAATCAACTCAAACAAAGTTTTCTCTGAAGCTGGAGAATCAGATCCTCAGCTAGTGTAAACTGGCATAAAACTCTTGCCTTAAAATAGACAAAATAGCTAACTATCCCTAGTTTGTTTTCAATGGAGCTACACTGATTTAAAACAGCTGACAATTTCTCTTGCATCTAGAGGGTCTAACTTCTGCTTTGAAAGAAAGTGCCGTTTAAAGTAAATGTCCCCTCTTGAAATGGTAACATCTGGAAGCAATTATTTTCATCTTCAAGCAGATGCTCACAGCGAACAGCTCATTAAGAATGTGACCCATTTTGTTACAGAGAAATTATAGTGTATTTCAGTGGTATGATGCAACTTGAATTCAGCCAGAATAAATATGCAATTGTAAGAAAAGAAAATACAAATTTATGTTATTGGTTTTAAAGCAAAAAAGATAATATATGACAGGCAAAATGGTAATTTGGGCTGTAGCAGCTTTAGGAGGATCTTAACAAGCTGAAATACAGAACAGAAATAGAACATATTCTAGGGAATCTTATTTATAAACAAGATACTTGTTTTTAACTTTAAAATGTACTATAAGTATAATTTAATTTATCAAAGTTTTTTTTTTGAAAATCAACTTTCAACTTTAAAAATTAAGGGAAAAAGCTATTTTAGAGTAGAAAAATTAAAGATGAGTCATGCAGAAGCTACAATATGCATGTATCAGATAGATCAATGAACAGCAAAATATTTCCAAACACAACTGTATTTTTAAAATTCACACTGTGTACTTTTAAAATATTTAATCATGCTTTCAATATTCGCAATGAAACTGAAGCACATGCTGTATACCTCACTTTCACGTTTTGTTGTCTTAGAAATAAATAATTCTTATAAAGCTGCTTATAAAATCTAACATGACAGAAAATAGCTTACAAAGAGGACACTGCAGTATTCTAGGCTGTCAGCTGCAAGGACAGAAAATTCCAGGATATTCAGCACTCCACAAAACAGAAGAAACAATCATGCCATACACTGATTGAGAAACCATAAGTAAGATTTTAGTCAAATGAGGAGAAAAAAACCCCAAAGATCCCATTTTGCACTTGAGCGTTGTACAAAATACAACACTCAAAAAATTTCACACTTTTCACCCTTATTGAAATAGTTGAGAGAGACAGACAGACCGACCAACCAAGCTACCTACCTGGTAAGCAAAATTCAGCAAGAACCACCACTAATGAGGACTGCACTTTTCAAGTGCTGTGTGTCAGCTGTGGTAGAAATAAGATATTTGCTTAACCGAAAACACAGCTGAGAGCAATGTACATGTGTAATCGCCATGAAATGGTGCAAGTCAGTAGCAGAGAGTGAATTACAGCCCTCCAATTCATCATTTGCCCATTATATAGTTAAGCAACGGAAAGGACAGAACTTCCCATTGCACCGCCAATTTGAACAGCCCTTTGCATATGCCTGGCGAGCAGATTCATGCCTACTTTAACTGTAAAATAACAAAGCGGTGTAATGCTCACCTGTATAGATAAGCTGCACAACTTGAGAGCACACTCTGAAAACCTTACGCCGCACAACCAGAGCAGCACAGAGCACACTTCAAAATCTGAAACACTAAGCTAGCTGCTGGCAAGAAGTTACTGCATGCTATAAACAAGTGCTGAAATTCATCTAAGATCAGATAACTCAGGCAATTGAAAGCTGAAGGAATGATCCTTGCCAGCCAGCAAAGTTCCTGAGAAGCAAACAGATACACACCAGATTTATACTCTGCAACCATGATAGGATTCTGGCTCCCCTGAGTATAAGACAACTGCAAAACCAAAACAGGTACACACTAAACTGCATTGGATTCAAGTTCCTACTCCCATACAGCTCCTCCCTGCATTCTTTTAATCCACTGTTTTTTAAAAGATTCTCCATTGTGCCTCACAAAGGGCACTGTCTGGCACACTTTCTCCTGCTCCTTGCACACAGGCAGAAGTTGGCCATAAACTGCCATGAGAAACAGAAATTCATTCCTGTTTGCATTCAAGCATTTCAGTTTCTATGTGTATTTTTAAGACAGAAAGAATCCTAAAGCCAAGTGCTTTGTACTTTGCAAGAGAATTTACTTGATAGAAGACACAATCATGTTTACACAATGCAACCATCTGACAAGAGTCCCCTGGATTGCTTCTTGCAATTATGTGATAGAAATAGATGTAAGGCTTCTGCCTTCAGTCAAACCACATCTAGGATTTGGTACAGGTCAGGCACAGGAAAGACATTGCCACACAGACCAGCATTTTGATTGGCAAAGCAAACTGTACGCTGTTATACTTTATGCCACAGAGCTTCAATGGGAACTAGTATCTGTTAAATAAATCAAATGCAGCACTGGAATAGCAAAGAGGTAACTAACTAGTCTTACTCACAATAATTGCCATAACAAATGCACTTAAAAGAACTGTGGAGGTGAAATCTGTGCAGAAAATTCACTTTTCAAACTGACTTAACACAGCTGTCAAGATTGACAGCATAGATTCCAAAGCACCAACGTGTTTACGTTATTCAAGGCTGGTACTTTCTGTTAGTGGACAATTTAGGCTACTTTATAGAGCAAAACCTACTTTTGCTTTCTAATTCTGTTCTACATTTGTACACAGTACAAACGAAAGAAAAGTTGATAGCAGGCTGATAGGAGATTCCCCCAAGGCTAACATAGCAGATGTTGAAGACCCTCTCTTCTCTTAAAAAAATATTTCTTTCTTAAAATTGACTGGAACAAAGTACTTCAAAATGCTACAAACTAACTTACAACAAGACACATTCTTCTCTAAAATTGGCTGTAATTTTACATTTTAAAGCAGCTGATATACTGGAAATGGACTGCCACAGCATAAATTGTTTGCATAGAATAATTCTAGGAGGGTTTTTTTTTTTAATTTCAAGACATTCATTACAACGTGTTAAGGGGCAAGGCAGGTAACTATTCACACAGGCTGGCATTTCCATATTCTTTACACATTCGATGGCAAGACAGAGATATCACTGGAAGGCAATTCAGCGAGACCAAACTGGCATCTTGCTCCCAGTCATGCTCCAGAAAATTTTCTCTTCATATTTACTATGAAGGTTGACCAGGGAAATGTGTCTCTTGGCCTAAACTGGAACCATACTTAAGGACTGATTTAAAGTTTTACCATTGACTTTCATGAGTTTTCGAAAGACCTACTTTGTTTTAAAGAAAGAAAATGCAAACACCTTCAAGATGAAAAATGTGTTTTCTTGATTAGAGTCTGTAGTGGAACAAGTATCCTTACAAAAGCAAAATGCTGAGTTTGACACCGTAAGCACCACATCTCATGAAAACATACATGCATTATCTGTAACTGTGCACACCAGGGCATCTCTGCATCTGTTACACAGGATTCTCTTGTTTCTCAAACATTGCTGAGCCATATTATCTTTGGCTGTGGTTTCATAAACAGCTAGGTCAAATGCACATCTCACCATTGCCCTTATGCCACACCCTGACCTCTTCTGTGAGCTGTTTCAACTCACTAACCCAGCAGAAAAATACCCCCTTCATTTTAAACTCCAAGTTCGTTTTCTCCCAGTCATTGAGTAAAAGGTCTGATGAGTATAAAATAAGTTGCAGAACCACATGGTCAGGAACAGGGAGAAGGATGAAAGGAGAATGAGGCCTTCTCCTTTTTGTAGCAGTAACCTTTAGATTGGCTGAACTCATTTCTTGAAAGTTCACATTTTGACTAAGGGATATTGCACCGTCCTCTCAGAGTGATGAAGAATCACTATTTTCTGCAAAGAAGCAGGAGTGTCTGTTGCTACTATTCCGCATTCAAGGTGTCCACCCTAAATGCCGAACAGACATTTTATGTAATTAGTATAAAGTTTATTTTAGCTGTTGTTTCAAAAGTGTTTCCATGATCACTTTGTAGCAGGGTTCAAAACAACTGTGCATAAATCATAAGTTAGAAAGATTTTAGCCAGTAACCCCACCCTGCAAAGTGGACAAGTCTCTGCTAGCATAGATTCAGCAAAAACTATTTTGCAGGGTAGCATTACATACCCTTTCTGTTGTGGAACTATCAGGTATCGTCATTAAATTATCTTAACAAAGTATATGATTTTTGTTTTATTGTAGCATTTTGGGCACAGAATTAATTAAAAGTCACTTTCCTTATAGTTCCCACAATTAAAAAGACAGGGCTTATCCTGGACTCAGGTATATGGTTTCCCAGATAAGTAAATAATATGCTTATCCATACTGCAGTTCTATTAATATACATTAAAGATTTTTCAAGCTAGGGCAATTATCTTTACCGTTCCATTTTCCATTTAGAAGAAGCAGTCAACTTAAGTTCACAAAGGTAAAAATCAGTGGAGTTCAATATATTGTAAATAAGCAAGCAGAACCATGAAATAAAATTGGATTTACATGCACCTCAGGAAGATAATGGAAGTCTTTCTGAAAAGCAAGAATATTTATATAGGTACATAGAGCTAGATGATTTTTTTCTTATTAGAAATAAGTTAGTTTACTGTAAAAATAAATAAATACTGTCTTGAAAGACCCACTAAATAGTTTTGACTGGAAAAACTCAGTGACAACACTAGTATCTTTCATCTCTTTGCTAAGCATCATGAGCACTTGCACAGGACACTGGCAACTGCTGGCTGAGAAGATCTGAACCCAACTCTCCCCAAAACCTGATTGATCCATCAGTCTACTGAAGTCCCTGAGGCCAGATACTCACTCTACTTTTGACAAATTAACTGCAAGAAGGCCTGTTCACCACATCTCTTACATGAATGTCCTAATCATCACATTACCAGGTCATTATCTTCTCTCCAAATCTCAACTCATTCCCTGTAGAGGGTAATCTTTTCAACAAAATGAATTGAGAAAAGAACCTTCAAAATAAATTATTGATAAATAGGGCCCTCTGCTGAGCCATAATACATATATAATTTCTCTGACTGTTGAGATTTTGAGAGATCTAACTTGGTTTCCCATATCTCACTGTCTACTGGGGGATGTAATCCACGTGAGAGACACCACAACTACCATTCCCTCATCATCCTCTAGTATTTCACTTAATTTGCTCTTCTTACTGTTCACAAAACTAAAATGTTAACTCAACATTGTTTTTTCCTCATTCCAGCGAGAAAATAAATTTTAAATATCCCAGTTCCACACTGAATTTATTTTTTAATTTTGGTTCAGCTATTGAAAGTGCATCACTCACACTAAAATTAAAATACTAAGGATATATGTTTGTGTACGTGTCTGTCTCTGAACAAAGTTCAAATGGACAAACTCGTAAGATTAGAATGAAACACAAATCTCTACCAAGTTGTGCCCTAGATAATTCTTCCTCTTAAAAAAACCCCAACCAAACTCGAGTTATCATATATGCTGTAAGCATGAGAGATCAGTCACTTAGAAATCTAGCAATCAACAAACAAGCTTGTCAGTATTTCTGCAAGTTATGTTCAAATGCAAGATCTCAAAACTACGATACAAAACAATGAACAAATTCGAGCTTATTGCTAACTATTTAATATGTGTACAGGAAAGAAAATAAATTTAAATTTATTTAAATTTAAAAATAAATTACTCCCATTTGGCAACAATTACAGCCGCTCAAAGTGATCTCAAAATTTAGATTTAAGGTTTATGTTAAGCATATTTGGAGATTCTCTGACTTCCTTAGCTTTAGTACAGACTTTTGTATCTTACCACTTTAGGATCAGCTTTGTAAGCAATTTGTGCACGTGCCTAATGCCAGACGGGTAGATTCAAATGTTTTCACTGAAATAGCAATGTACATGCATTATTATATTCTATTTTCAGCTGCCTCAGTGTGCTGTTAAATCAGGCTTTAAATTCACAGTTTCCTCAGAAGACTATCAGAGCAGAAAATTTTCAGTCAGAGAAACAATAAACAGTTTTAGTAGAAGTCACAGAACTATCTAGTTTTAGATTGAAACAGGAAACTTCTACACTCTATTGTGAATGCCTTCCTGAAGTCTGAAAACAGATTTTCATAACTTAAATATTACTGTTCTTTGAATTTCACTTCAGATCTCACTGAAAAATTAAATGCACTTGCTATTTGCATTTTTAAAAACATCCCCCCTCACTTAAGTATGAGACTAAAACTTTTTCCAGCTGGAAGCATTTTGGGCTGCAAAAGTTGTATGAGACCAAGTTTTTTTCAGAGAAGCTTGGAGAATTATAACTTTAAAAGGTTTAAGATACAAGTTTATCTTATAGAACTTGCTACTTTTTATACACCTATGTATAAGCATCTTTATCATAGTAAAATAAGTTTATGTAGATTAACACAACTGTAATCTATGTAAACATAAATTAACACAACTATAATTTAAAGCTATGAATAGTTCATAGAAAGACTTGTATATTTCACATAGACTAAAATAGTAAATTTATAACACAACATTTTGGGTGGGGAGAGGAAGTAAGTTCATCAAGAACAACATCTATCCTGCAAATTTCTGGCGTAGATTTTGAGGGTTATTTACAGTTTCAAATCTATTTTTGATATCTAAGTACTGTATTACCAGTGGATGATCTGCATCTGTAATAACAGAAAATTGCACTGGGAAAGGTCTTTTGCATCGATAGACCTGCGAGCTCTGCAGTAACACATGAAATGTAAGATATTTAATTTATCATTTGTTCTGCTCCCTCAACATACACCACGAAAGAGCAAAAATCAGATCACATAGCCTGAAACTGTCGATTGAAATAAAGAAAAACATGTCTTTATATACTAATTTTCTTTCAAAAAAAGGGGAAAGCTCCTAAATTAAGCAAAAATGGTTATAGAACCAAACTTGATACAGTAATTCATTTCAACTTACTACCTGTTCAGCTTCAAAGCCATAAGAAAACAGAAGGTATTTAACTAAAACTTCTGAATTCTGTAACTCCTACATGTATTAGATACATTTAACCTGTCTAACCAGTTACTCAACCATGTTCAAATTTAGTTCGTCAGCACAGTACGAATAAGACACAATAGTTTCATTTTACATGCTGCCACGTACAGTATTATGCAACCAGCCAGTAAAACATTTCTGCAACAGGAAAACAAAGAAACATTTATTGCAAAAAAAAAAAAAAAAAAAGTGCAAAGCAGCAAGAGAACAATAAAAGAGGCATTTTCTTCCTGTTTTTATCTTGTTGCCAAAGGCACTCACACATGCAGACAAGCTGACCATATATGTTGACCCCTCTGTTGGAGAAGATTATGCAAGAAGCTTTCCAATCCAGATTTTTACCTGTTGAAGCATTTCTTCTGTTGCATTCAGTTTCAACTGATGCCCCTCAAGACAGATTTCTAGGTCCCGGATTTTCTCTCCCTGAGCTTCCACCTGGTCTGTAAGAACACTCACCTGTAATTTGAGAGGAGAAGCACAATGCTACTGAACTGACTGTAAATAAGTTTCAATTACCTTATTCAATTAACATCCAAATGCATATTTTAACAGCAAGTTCTCTTTTAAGGTCCTCAATGGTTTAATATTCTTGTGCACTGCAGCAACCTGCTCTATCAAGATAGACAATTTTTCAGTCTTGCCCATATTTTGCTTCAACCCCGCCCTCTGACCCCCCCCACCCCGATTATTTTGTTTTAATATAAAAAGGAAAGAGCATTTCTGGAAGAGATGGAAGACTATCTATAGGTAGGCTGAGTCAGTTCATGCAAAAGTCTGAAAAATTAGAAAGCACCAAACAAGAACATAGGATAATGAAAGTATTTTAAGTGGTTTTGGAGCATGCATTGCCATTTCAGGTTCCTTTGGCATTTCACTCCCTAAAACGGATAAACAATAAAACTGTTCATTTGGAAACCAACCAATTACTTTACTTCTCACAAGAACAGAAAAACAGCTTACCTATCAATAAAGCATTCTGAAGTTATAAAGAATGCAATGAGTAAAAGGCATGTTTTAGCAGCAGCAAAGTTCTATTCCAAGAAAAATTCCCAGGCTTTGCAAGCCAAAACATGAAAGCAAAGAAGTGAGATACAGACAATGAATCCCAGGAAAAGAAACAATAAGCAATACTGGTAAAGAACTGTGGGAATGGTGGTACAGACCAGTGAGTATATAATAACAAAAGCCCAGCAGCCTAACTCAAAGCTTGCAAAGCTGAAAAAACTACACTCAGGATAACATTAGAAGATGTGGAAAAAACCCCCAGTGTTAATTCCTATGTTACGCAGCACATGCACTCTGTATATTCATTTTTACTATTTATTTATATAAAAGCCTTGATTATACTAGAAAAATGTTATCTCAAACAAAAAAGCAACCTCAGGTCTTTAAACCCCAGTTTGAATGAAGTGCGTTAACAAAAACTTATCTATGCTCTCACATACAACTCTGCAACACCTTTATTTAAAAAAAAAAAAGGTCCTGTATGTGGAAGTGAAACCTTTAAGATGTACTCACTACACAGCATTTCTAAAATCCAATCAATGAACAACTGAGTTCACTTCAGGGAAGCTGCAGAGGGAGTGACTGAGTGATCTGTATTTGTTTTACCTGCAAACATAATGACAAGCATGCCTGGGAAAGGAACATAGAAAAAGAAAAAAGAGGGCTTTTTTTTTTGCCTTTAAAGTAGTTGGCTGTAGGGTGGAGTACAGATGAATGTAGGATGAGAGATGATGGGAAGGAGTGGGTGGAGGCAGGTGGCAGGGGGGCATATCCAAGCTGGGGCAGGGGGAGAACTCCCTGCAAGGAAGTCTGTTGCTTGTCTACTTTTTTGTTTTGCTTCCATTAAATGAGTAATGGCACACCAAAAAAACCCCTGTGAGGTCAGAAAGCAAGAAGAAACAAACTGAATCCTCTCCTTCAGTCTGATGCAGGTTCCAGAGAAAGAAAACAAGCTCTACTTAAAGGGTCGGGTTAGGTTCCAACTAGTGTTGTAACCTGAAAGGAAAACTGTGTATGTTAAACGTGACCTGCAAAGGAATTTAGTAAAACCTTAGCAGCTTTAGAAGCTTGTGTTGGATGTTCCAGTAGTTAGGCTGAGAGGCACATTAGCCACTTTGAACTCATATTTTCCCCTCTGCTCAGGATCACATCTGCCAGACTCTTCACGGAATCAGTAGGCTGCACGCAGAACATAACCCCACTGTATGCTACGCTGGCAAGTCCATCTTGCCTTAGCAGTGCAACACCCACAAGAGTCAGCCCGTAGATAATATATTTTCTGTAAATATCTATAAAAGTGAGGCATATTGAACAATAAGGTAAAAATCAAGTGGTATAGGGATTTAAAACATCTTTGTGAAAAAAAACCCCCGAACAAAGCAAACACCTAAAGAAGTACGTTACCTCCTATACACAGGCACTGAACTATAAGAAGATATCCCACATGCTGTAGCATTTCCAGCTTCCACTACAGACTGAACAATGGAAGCAGATTTCAAGGTGCACTGTTTGACTCAGCCTTGGTGGACAGAGATAGTGGGCAATGCCTGTGCCCACTACAAGGTGCCTTGTACTGTTTCTTCTGCAGCAAGTCTGATGCAAGACTGGAGTGCTCCCAGCCTCACATTTCCTATGGATTACTGCTACGGACCACAGTTACTGGCACAATGCAACATGAGCTATAGAATAGAGGTGCTCTGTTTCCCATCACTTTCTCATCCTTCATGCCAATGGTCACACCCAGGAGCCAGGTTTGTACCAGCAGGCTCCCTCAGGCCAGTCTAACCTCAGCACGGGACTTGGCTGTGTTCCTCATATTCAACTGCCTAGAGAGAATATGCAGAAGTGGTGTAAACCCAGGTTCTAACCCCAGCTCCATCTTGGCACCTTTTTTTTTTTTATTGTTGTTGTTGATGTTCATCTATCAGACTGAGGTTTTCATCTCTGTTATTTGCCTGGGGTTTTTGGAGTTCTACTGCAATGCTGTGCAGCGGGATAGGAAAATGCATAAATATTGACTAAGCCTCTTAATTTGATGGGTGTAAAAGGCAAAAGAGAGACAATTTCTACATCTGATTTTACTACATTGCTCATGAAAAAAACTCTAGGGAGGTCTCCAAACCATGTCATAAAAGCCCCTTCTTTGTGAGTTTGGCTGGCTGCATTCTATTGGTACCTATTTGTTTGGATGAAGAAATAGTTACTAAAAATCAGCAGGACAAAGACAGGAAAAGTACCTACTGAGCAGCAGCCTGGAACAGTCTTCAGGAACTTACAAGCGCTGGAGACTATCGGTTCTGTTAAATCCACAAAAGCTGATACACTTTGAACACCAAGATTCTGCCAAATCTGTACAAGCCCACCAGCATGCATGACCATCAACAACCAGCTGTATAGCATGAACCACATCCAAGATGACAGTGGCTGCTATATGCAGACAAAGATTACAGGACTATACACACATGTGATGAAACAAAGGAGGCCTTCAGGGACAAAGGCACAGATGCATCAGTACAACCCGCTGCTTCTGAGTAAACAGCTGGGTTTGGCCCTCTAATTGTTGCTTCAATTATGAGTGTGCGTGCATATGTGCGAGTGAACAGTATGAGAAGTGAATTTACTGTGTGAAAAGTTGTTTGCTATTATTAACAGAATCAAGGTGTTACAGTTAATAACCACTTGACTAATAAAAGGTGTTCTAATAAATATCAGTTGTGATGTTGTCTCCCCTGACCTGATTCCCTCTCAGAAAAAAGGGAATTTGCAACACACACTTAAACACTTAAATTCCAACCAGAAGTTTGTTTTTCATTCAGGATTTTTTTTTTTTTTTCTAAATTTGGTAATAGCAATTTTAGTTTAACAGTAACGAAAAAAATCCAACCAAGACTAAGCTTATGTCTCACAAACTGTTTATTGTTTATTTAACAACAGCAGTGAGAATTCTGCTCAGTAAATTAACACAAGTGTGAACAGAACATACAGGATAAAACATGCTTACAGAAACTAGTACCTGAAAGTAGGGAGAACACCTACCCAGTATAGTTAAGTTTCGTTTGATATAAATATATATGCTTATAATATGCTTTTTTAAGCGTAAAGAGAAAGGATATGCAAAGACAATTTAAAGAATCTCCAGCTTCAGTTTTAAAAAGCATGTAACATAGAGTTTAGTAATAGTGAAAATATCCAGAAAAAAAAAAATTAAGTTTTTTTATTTTAAGGTGTACAACATGTGTTTTCTCCAGGAGGACAACTTACATGGGACAGGGGATCTGTTTGAAAAAGGTTTGATAAACTGAGAAACAGGAAACCTGGAAGAGCTCAGGCATGCATTTTACTGTCAAATCTTCTTTTTCCCCCTTTACCTCCCCCTTAAGCTTTTTGATGATGTAAATCAACTTTGGTACAGTATACAAGCAGGAAAAATATCAGTTCTATCTACCTGCCAGTCTTCCAGCTAATTAAAAATGGTGGCACCCAGAACCCAGAAAATCAACTGGTACAACCTAGCAAGCCTCGAATGAGAACAACTACCACTTCACAGCATTATTTTTAAGTTCTTTTTTTTTTTCCCTTTGTCATCCTTCTCCCTCTTACTGCTGTTACTCCTCTCTCCTCTACCCAATTACGCCACCATGAAACCAATCAGATGGATTATACAAATTATAAATTAATTCCTGATTAAATATCAGTAACTTCTGGTGACCTGGTAACACTTGTTTAACAGAAAATACTCTGTCACTTCAGCTTTTATTCACCGAATATCAACTATGTAGACAATGTTCTCTTTAAGACATACCTGCAGTATGAGCGACTCTTTATCACCTTCTAATCGTGCCAATCTTTCTTGATAGGTTTCATTATTAGATGAATGATGGTTCACCTGTGACTGGGGGGACAAAAGTGCTATGAGAATTTTTACAGTTAATATTAAAATTTCAAGCAATAGCTAATAAAAATTAATATAAATTGAATGGTTGTTATAATGCAAAAAACAAGCAAAAACGTGTCTACAGATCAAAACTGGTTATTTCATATGCATTATGAAATATGTATGTACCTTTTTTTAGCTGGATTTTGAATACTTTCTCATTTCCTGCAATCAAGAATGGTATAGGAGTAGATTTGGTATTTTCTAGCAAGTTATTGTTTCATTGGGAAATACCATCTTATCAAGACAAAAAACATTTCATTTGAAATATCTGGTCTAAACAGTTTTTTGCCAAAGTCAAAGAATCTTGGTGTTTATTTTTAAATGGTAAAATTTGCCACATGTATTATAATATTCCTAGAAATTACTGAAAGAAAAGTGTAGTTTTTTTTGTTAGCAGTTAACAAATTACTTAAATTATAAAGTTCTTACCAGGAACTACTCTAGCTACGTAATCACTTATGGATTTCTAAATGGCTCTAAGGAGCAAGACCTTCTAAAGCATGGCCTGTTCCTAACTATTATGTCCCATTTCCTATGAATTTTAATACTCCAGAGACAAACGCCACAATTAAAAAAAAAAAACCAAACTGCAGATTTATTTAAAAAAAGTTTAGAAGAGTTCCATAGCTTCATCCTGCATACTAAAACATTGTGTAACTGTGGGAATGGAGCTATTTGCTTAAAGCGTCAAAAGTAACATGAGCCCTTAGCAGTTCATTTCCCAGCTCCACTGCAGGCAATGCATTTCTGTTGGGGAAGAAAACACTTTGGCTGGCCTTTTCAGCTAACACAAGAATCCAACTTCACTGAGTTCTCTTAAACTACACTAGTCTGCAGCTGACTACTCACTTATAGTTACTTATACAATGGCACCAATATAAATATAATCCTCCCCTCCACCTGTCCTTTCTCTTTCAACTGAACATTTGTGAATAGGATTTAAAAAAAAATATTATATTCATGACTTCTTGATCTCCACTGAGATCTACAGGCCCAAATGTAAAACAGCGGATGAAAATAAACATGGTGCTAATTAATGCAAATCAAGAAATCAAATATTTATCCCACCAAAAGCTAAAAGATACTTTTCAAGCCATGAAGTGCTGAACTAGATATGTGTGTGGCATCTTTATGAGCTGAGCTGTGAGGAACTGAGCACCCTCGTCTCTGATATTTTTGAAAGGAATTGAGAGAATCACGAAGACGCCAACAAACAGGACTGAGAGGTGCCTGAAGAGATCATCTGGTTCATTATTCTATCCTAGGACAGATGATTATTCGCAATATTCTTGTCTTGCCTACTCCTAAAGACCTCCAGAAATGGATTACACAGCCTCCCCATATAATCTACTTCTTAGCTACCCATCATTAGAACATTTTTCTTAATGTCTAACCTGAATCATCATCTCTTCAGCTTCAACCTATTGCTTCTTATCATACCACCATGGATAAAAAAAAAGGTCCTTCGCTTCCAAAATTTTTTACATATTTGAAGACTATCTGTAGATCTCTAATTAGTAGGTCCCTCTTTGGGCTAAACAAACATAAGTTCTTCTGCCTCTTCCTCACAGGTTAATTTTTCAAGATCTGTTTTGTTGCTTTCTTTTGGTTCCTCTTCACCAATTGTTCCTTGACTTCTTTTGAAATTAAGTGCCTAAGAGTAGACACAGAATTCTAGCTGAAAATGGCTAGAGTGGAAAAAACCTTTTCACAGACCCTTGGGCCCTATTTCTTTTCATGTCAGCCATATAGTAACACTGATATATTTTCAGCCTAGGACCCATAACTTCCAGATTCTTTTTTAATGCTCTTATTTAGCTAGCATCCTGTTCTTAATTCTGTGTTTACTCATTGTTTCTGTTTAAATGTATAACCTTGCACCAGTCTATACTGAATTGTGTCCTATTATTTATAGTTTATTTAAACTATACTTAGTTTTCCTATGTATCAGGCTCTTTGTATGTTTTAATCATGTCCTTTAGCATGGCTGCAAGTCCCTGCTTAACTAGAATCACCTATAAATTCACTACGCTTGGTCCTTATTCCCTGTTTTAGAGGGTCAACAAGAACACTGAAGAACAGAATGTGCAGAACCTCACTCTACTCCTTACCAGAACCGATCAAAAGAAGAATATCTTAACTCTGCTCAGAACAGACTTTTCTCATTAGCTTTTGACCAGTTTATAGTAGGTCCAACTAAGATTCAAGACCTCACAGAAATGGCTCTAAATATGCACATCTGAGTGCATAACTTATACACAAACAGAAGTCTCAAACTAGTAAGTTTTACAGTGGCACACACTTAAAGGAATGGTGACTTTACTCCCTCATCCTCTCCTAACTAGTTTTAATTTTTTTAGAATTTCTGTGTCCTACCATTTCTTTCCACCTTTCCTAACATCTCAATGTAATTTTTTCAAGCCTTCTCCTTTTATTAAAAAAATACCACACACTGACACACCCCAAACCCCCCCACTGTGTTTATAAAACATGCATCTTCAGTTTAACTTAGGCCCTTCGTATTAAAAGTTGGCCAGTCAGTCAGTCCATATGGTCTTAAAGTTCATTCCTTATTAACTTTTGTAGTACTATAATGAAAATAAGGAATCCTCAATAAGTAATCAACATGCATTTCTATATGTCTGTCTAGATAATTCGTTGACCTCAGCTATGCATCCTCAATCATATTGCCAGCCATTCTGCCTGGGTTGTTACTCCACTTGCAGCGCAAAGTCTTATACTGTACTTTAGAATCCAAAATCTTTAGCCTTGGCGGCTATGTTCCATTAGGGTTAAAACTCCATTACATACCATTAAATGGGTTTTCTCAACAGAGAGCCCACAGGCCTTCCCCAGTATGTCTCTGGCTCACACACAATGGTAGGGAAGACTTGCCTGCACCTAGAACTTCAAGTATTCAGGGAAGAACAGCACACTGCTAGGCAGGAAAAGATTTTCTCAGTCTTCATCTCTTAGTGATGAAGACCGCCTAGTCAGGTAGATTTTGCACCCTTTCTCTTGCCATCATTTGCTATTTTCCTAGGCTAGATTTAAGAAATATACCTGTAACCACTTGTGTAACCACTCCCCTCCTGGCCTTACAGGCACAGTGAGTTAAATTACTGCCAACACATTTTTACATAACCAATCTGTCATGAATGCAAAACAGAGTTCAACATTTTATATAATCAGTAAGAATTAGTTCAACATCAAATCACAAATAAGATATTCTACTACACTCACATTTACCAAATGTATAGCCTCCGATGCTGTCTGCTGCACTGACTGACAGTGAAATACCCTCTGGTGGAAGTAATAACCATGTAAAACCTAATGAATCACATCCACGTGAACAGACAAGGAGGAAGGGGGGGAAAAAAAAAAAAATCAACCCTGCTAATAGGTCAGCCAGAGAGTGCTCAGATAAGTACAGGAAAGTACAGTAGACAGAAAATGACGTGCTAAGTAAAAGTGGCTGATTGACACACAGCAGTTGTTTAAGACTTGGGAAATCTTTGTGGCATGCATAAAGACAAGATAAAACAATGTAATATGAACCAAGGCCATCTGTGGATGGTTGGAGTGCATTCTGCAGTTGTGAAAGTCAGTACTGAGAAGAAACTGAGCAAGTATAGTTAGATATCACACGTATCAGCAGCAACTGAATATAGGACCTAGAACACTAAAGTCGTAAGACTACAGACCACTCGAGTTGGTGTAAGAGCTCACAAACACCACACACTAGACTTGTGTAACCACATGACCAAAAGGCTGAATGACCAAGATTTTCCACGAAGATGTTATTTCAGAAGATGTAGTCTTAAAAACCAAAAATCATTACCTGGGCTCCACAAATTATAAGCTAAATATGTTAATTACCTTTCTTGTAATGAAAGAATGAAAGAAATTGCATAAAACATGTAAAAAAGTTTATGATAACACATGATAACAAAGTAGAAGGAATGATATGCTAAGGCAAGGTGGTTGAAACTACCTTGATGGTAGTACCACTGCAGATGAAAAGTAAAGTATATACCATAACTACTCTGCCTAAGGGAGCTGCACCTGTCTCCACAGAGATTTTGGATATAGTTTAATGCCCATCAGATTGCATCAGATATTAACATAAAATGTTTCCTCAAACAATTCCAAATCATCCATTTCATGCGGTTCTAGAAAAAAAAAAAAAGGCTTTTGCATTCCATTACCTGCTTCAGCTTCTTCTTCATCTTTAGTTTCCAAATCTCTCTCTGGAATATGCTCTTTACTCTAACTCGGACATAATACCGGTAGCTGCTGGAAACTTGACTGTTTAAGGATCACTCACATGATCAAGTCATTACAGAGTCCTTTTCCAAGAAAAAGGCTTAAATATTCCTCCATAATATATAACACAAAAAAATCAGACTTCAGAGTATGATTTAACAGCTTTAATTTAAAATGGGGATAACCAGCAAAAATATAAAAGGGTATGGCAAGAAAGGGAAGAAATGTTTGATTGACTCAGTTAGCTAGCTTAATTTTCATCAGCCTTCTCAGAGACTGGTAAGCATGGACTGTTATGTTTTCTTGCATGTTATTTTAATAGGAAACAATTCAGAATGCAGCTTATTGTCAGAACAGAACAACAACCATTGTATAATGCTTCTGTAGAGATGTTCTGTTCAGAAGTTTCTGCAACAGAACTTCTAGCTGAATCTTGATAGGCTGTAAAAATAAGACCCTTAAAGCAAGCACATATGCAAGATAATAAAATTGAATACAGGCCAGTTTATGTTCTCCTCGTGTGCTGTTTCAGTTTCAGCTCAAAGAATCTCCAACACAGCTAATTTTAAAACAAAAAATACCAACTTCTGAAGTTGGTCGGCAAGCTGTTACACAGAAATTTGTCACTAATACCACGGATCTCATATTGGGCTGTGGAGGGGGGAGGAGCTGGGAAAACAAACCTGGCAGTCAGTTAGAGTGGTGATTTGTAAGCTTTTTCAGCAAGTCACCCGCCTCTTTTAGAAGACAGATTATGTCATAACACTCCTCTCTTCTTATTCAGTCACATGAATCATCTTCAGTTTCACTGATAAATGAATAAGATGCCTGTGGCAACTATAATACTTGCATTAATGGGGAAGATTAGGGACATGCTTGACGTGTTGTCTTTTGCTGCAGTTTAGAAGCTCAAAACAAGGAGTATAGCCAGCAGAGTTCAACCAGTCAGTCTTCTCTGCAAAGTACTAGCAGCACACAGACCACAGTATTATATTTCAATACAAGAAAATGTACGCTATGGACTTTTTCCAGCCTATTTGGAATTGATAATATTTAGAAGAGTATGGACTTTCCATCTCTTTATTACTCCTTTGGGTCAGCAGAATTGATGTTATGAGTCACAGTAGTTGCTATTGTGTTGTGATGAGTGAATAGCCTACACAGTAAACATTTTTATTTTGGCATCTGACTATGTATGTAATACAAATTTTATCTCTTGGCATGTTAGTGTACCTCAGATACACATCCATCTGAGTATATGTACATTCATCTAGTGTACTTGAGGAGGAGAGGGCGGCTGGAACATGATTTCTGGATCTGTAATTCTTGCCTTTCATCTGAAGGCAATTAATAAAGCAACAACAGGATTTTCTATTTGCCATTGTTCCTTGTTGGTTAAGTGAAAGTGGCAGTCACTTTGAGAAAGCTAACAGCATATAGTGTGAAATTAAAGACAGAGCTAGGTAAATTTCTGTAGTCCTTAAAATAAAAGAATTTTGACCAAATATTTATATTTTATCTGGATAATTTTTCCTAATACTAATACTTATTTTCTCCTCCAGACAGTCACATTACTTAAAGGAAGATATCCTTACAGAAGTCACAAGATTTACCCTCAATATCATGAGCTTAATGGCTATAGCATGGGTTTGATCACTCCATCTCTTGCTAGTACAGGTTATGAATAGCATCTGGAAGAAAGGAAAGAAAAGCATAAGAATAATGTACACCTATTTCAGGTCAGTCATCAGCTCCATACGGCATGCACCTCAAAAGGTAAGTCTAAAGCAAGCTACAAGAGTCATCAGGTGCCTCCACTTCACATGAAGGCATCTCTTTCAAAATGAGACATCTTATCACTGTACAGAGTTTTCCAGAGGCAAGAGACTTTCCATTTTGCTACACTCCATCCACTGCAGTTCAAGTAGCTCAGTTAATTTACAATGTCCTTAGAAAGCCCATAATACTGTTTGTAGTAAATATCAGCATTTATGTTTGTGATGTTTGTTAATAATTCGTGGTTATACCTATATGCCTACACACCAAAATGGGGGTTGTGCCATTTTTATTCGGAATGGTGTGTTCTAATTAAGGCCAGATGGAAAGACAAGAATAAAGCAACAGGACAACAGATGAAATTGTATGTGAACCCTCTAACCCAAATCCCTCAGGAAAACCAAAGAAAGTTTGCTAAAGATTAGACACTTTCACCTTCAGGTAGTGGGGAGTGTCTCAGGTTCGTTAGCTTGCAACAGAAACTTTTAACAGTGACAGATTTATGCTTGGGCCCTGTAAAGGAACCCAACACGAGTTACCTGCAAAACGCTTCCCACAAACTGCCAGCCAACTACTTTATGAGAACTGTGCTGCTGCCTTAGCTGTAACGTTAAAAGTACACTGTATATACACAAGAACTTTTCCATATCCTTCTAGAAACAGACTGCTGAGAGACATGCCTCCCTTAATAATCCCTGGGACCTCCTTAGCTGGTCTTTGTGTCTTACTAACAAGGTATCCTAGAATATCTGCATTGCTACAAACTCTTATAACACTGCATGAAACCAGGGCGGTACTATGTGCCTATGTCAGATATCATTCAGCTTCTCAGCCAGAATAAGTTAACCAGGACAGTTCTGAAATTGCCATCAAAGTATCACATGCCATGAAGTACAGGATAGCTGTACCCCATTGCAGAGTTTTGTCTTTCTGATATTAAGAAAGATATTATCAGAGCAAGTTCTTTCTCTTGTCAGAAATACCACCACAGACTACTATTTTTTATACTAGCAAAAGGCAGAAAAAAGTGAAATGGAGAAAAAACAGTAACCAAAGGAAAACACATTAACTGTTCCTCATATACAGCTGAGACAAGGCTAAATTGTTTTTTGGCTCTGTCCATCTGCTCTTACATTTTGCTGCCCACTCTGTCCATACCTATGGCCATTCTTGGCACAGCACTTTTCACAGGTCAGTTTAACATCAAGAAAGTCCAATGGAATGAGCTGTGTGTGGCGACACCTTATTTCAATTTGATCAATATCGCTTTGTCCCTGCTGCTGTTGCATGATAATATATAAACATGAGCTTACAAGACTACTGCTTAAAACCGGATCCTCTATTCTAAGCATCTGAAAATAGCAGTCGTATCTGTCATTTTGCCTGCCCGGATCTCGTGATTTTTATATTTGTTTGCTGCCCTAACCCAGTCCAAGCCACAGATACCATGCAAATCTAGCTTAGCCAACCAACTGCAACATCAAAATTGATCCTGGTCTCTGAAGTGATTTCTGCTAATGATGAAATTGGAGCCAGCTTTGGCATACTTCACCAAGGGTTTATGGAAGTCTGTTGCAGTAACCCTCTGTTAAGTGCCATTTGTTACTCTGGAGGGTACTCGTACTTCCATTATCAGCCAAAGAACAACAGTTTATGATTGCAGGGCCTGAAACCTTACATGCTATCACAATCAGTGCCAGACATGTGACATTAGGATTCCTGAACATGAGAATTAAATAAGCAACTTAAATTGTTTCAACTTTTTTTTTTTTAAATCACTTGTCAAAGGAATTTGGGAGCAGACTGCTTAAGTTCTCCTGGGAACAATACAAGATCATTTTCAGTCCTCTTCCCTTCCCCCACATGCTCACCCCCTTAAAGAGCTTGCAAGGAAAAGCAGCAGTATTGATATTCTCCTTTATGTACCCTACATAAAAGGAATTACATGCAACCACAGTGATAGCACTATTAATTTCTGTAAAAGTCTGTGCAACATTTGGCCACAGTATCCTTTCCTGGGATGACCTGAAAATCATCCCAAAGACATCCTGTGTTAACCCGTCCAAATCAGTGAACTTTTCAGTGTGAGACTTTCCTCACTGAAGCTATTTCTTGATCCCTTTCTCATTATGTTATTGTCCTCAGTGTATCCTGAATGCCACACAACCTGATAACAGCACACCTTAGCCTTTTGTTAGCAAACCTATCTTTTTAGAAATGAAATTTAAACCAGGAAGCAGGGGTGGCAGACATACCGCATTCAAAACCTCATTTAAATAACAGATTAATATGTGATCTCAAAAAACACTGGAGAGTTATTTAACTTTAACTGCACAGAGCACAGGTTAAACTAACAGTATCATGTTACCAACAGCTACTTCCTGTTGTCTCTTCTTCACTACCTTACTCACTCCCTGTTTAATCCCCTCCCCATCCACACTCCAGAAATCTAAAAGTTTTCAGAACTTGATGTAAATATTTTGTAAATTAACTTCAAGATTCTCAAGTTTTTTTGAAGACTGACATTATATCATGAATATTTTATATTCATTCAAGAAACTACCCAAATTAAAGTTCCTAATCACATTTCACATAAGTATTTACCTACATCTTATGTTTATACAGCTTATAAAAAAAAATAGAGTGCATGTGCATATGTATACATGTGTGTGTTTAATCCAGTGCCATACAGAAGCACTAACATAAATGGCATGCATAGAATTTGCAAGAAAAGTACACACAGGTTAAAATAGATTTTAAAAGTATAACGAGAGGATGTGCTGCTTACATGACACACAATTAAATTAATATTCTAATTAAAAAAAAGTATACTGTGAAGGATCTATTTACATCCCATTCACGGATTTTTCAAACACTGAAAAATAAATACTTAGAACCTAAAAAAATCTAAAAGCTGACAAAAACGAAGTGATATTTCCAAGGTGATGAGACAACTGCACAAACCTTTTTGTTTTTATCTTTCTATAAAAGAAAATCTCACGCAGTTAATTCATGTTCAGACAGTTCATCACAAAATTCGGATTTTAATAGCACTGCCTTTTTAAAAACCATAATTTTATCAGAGTAACATGCACAGGAAAAAAGTACCACCATTTTTATCCGAAACAAAGGCATCCTAAAAGATCTCATAGTTATCCCGATGAAGAATTCATTAAGCGAAGAACTAGTGCAAATAATTTTTCATTTTAAAGCACAACATGGTAAACAACATATTCTCCTTTTTTGCCGTACATTCCCATGCAAGATTTGCTTTGTTGTATTACAATCTCAGGAAAGCACGAGCACTTGCTAGGATCTATTGCCATTTGTTCAAAGTTTGATCCTAGAGTTTCATTTTTAAAGACAAAGACAGCTGATTCTCCCCCCC